TATGAGGTGGATTAGGTGTGCTTTGTCAAACGCTAACAGGTTGACTTAATGGCAGACATGATTTTCGCCCCAAGGGTTTTCAGAGCTGCCAAAAAGCAGCTTTTTCTCACACTCAACAAGCTGCTTTATCTATTAACGGCCTACAATCATCAGAACCGCTGCGACATGTTCCGGATATGTCAATTGCAACACTGTGAAAGCAGTATTTTGTATACCATTGTCAAAGTGTTTTGAAAACCATTACAAACTCTACAGATTGCACAGTACACGCAGCACGTCACACTGACTCCTGCTGCAAAATCGTTTTAGATTTGGCAAGATGTCAATTTTTGGTTTCGTGATGTTGATTCTTTAATGTCAGTATCTTACACTAAACATCTTTCTCATTGTGGTCAAAGCCGTGACCCCCTGATCTGTGGACTGTGGAGCCACTCTTCTATTTACGATTCTCTGATAAGAGCTGCTGGAATGCAGAAGGCTAAGCCGTTTGACTGAAAGGGGGAAAAAAAACTTTACCATCCCTGTTTTAGGCAGCAGAGTAGAATAAACACGGAGGGCACTGTGTTATGTTTAGTTAAGCATTAAAGACGTATATATAGGGGGAGTGGGGTAAGATGAGCCACTAAAGTTAGGTGAGAAATGAGATAAGGTTAAAAAAATTCAGGTTAGTATGTATATTTTAGGATGTCAATCATTTGAAATTAAAAGAATGTGTTTATTCCTGGGCCATAGACATACAGGGAAACATAAACTACATGATATATGAAAAAAAGCTCACTTTAAAAATCTAAACATACATGGAAAAAAAGCAACAAAATCACAATCCCATTCCAAATTTTTTGGCATCTTTTGTCCCAAAAATTACCTTTAACATCCATTGAACGTCACCATTAAAATAAAAGGTTCTTTATACTGAAAAATGATTCTTTAGTCCTTTAATATTATAAAAATATTATATTATATAAACTTTGGGGAAATAAAACGTGTGAGAAACCCCTCTTTTGGAACCTTCATTTTTAAGTGCGAGTAATTTAGGAATCTATCCTCTCATATACAGTGACACTTTCCACATCTTAGATCAGTGCTTTGAAATGTCTTCAGCCGTTTAGGGAACACTGGAAAACGTATGTGAGGTTTGCAGTGATGTGACCACACACTGACAGCAGGAAGATACTAACATGCCTGGGAAAATAACTCTCCTTTGCTCTTTAAATCTGTCGTTAGGATGACATCATCTGACTCAGAGAGTCAATAAACCTCACAGCTGCCCTTCAATTCAGATATGAAATGAGAGAGGAAGAAAATAACAGCATCCATCATTCAAATCATTCAAAAACAGAAGGATTATTTTCCCTGTAAACAAACTCTTAACGGTTTTTTCTTCTTCATTCAAACAGGATTGAATTACTTTGCTGAGGTAAATGTAACATCACATGTGTTGTTCACACACTTTTTTAAGACCTTTTAGGTGAACCTGATTTCACAGAGTCGCCAACTTTGTTGATCCTGGAACAACATTCCAATCAACCAATCAGATTTGAGGGACACGTTTACAGTTTATGTCCGGTTTAGTCTTACAACCAGGGCTAGGTGTTTCTACATCAGTGTTCACGTAGCGATATCACTCCACATTGAAATGTCCTAAATAGGGTTGGGTATCGTTTGAATTTGAACGATTCTGATTCCGATTCCGATTCCTTGTTTCGATTCCGGTTCCTAACGATTCTCGATTCTGATTCTTTTAAGAGGCAGGGTCAAAAAAGTTTAGCTAACCTTGCTAACCAACGGCCTTTCTGAAGGAAATAATCCTTTCTGAAGGAAATACTCCTTCTGTAAAAATACTCCTTTTGTCACAAATTTTGCATTTTGCCGAGATTTCGTTATTTTTAGAAAAGCGAAGCCATACTTTGGATCGCCGACGTAAGGTACTCATGTTCGACTCACGTGGTTATGCCAACACTTCCGGTAGACGCTTCTTCGTTGGTGTTGTTCAGCGGTTTCTTCTTCGGCTCGGCGGACTGTGAAAATCGAAACTAGGAATCGAAATTTTAACTTTTGAACGATTCCGGGAAAAACAAAAAGTTAGTCTCGGTTCCAATCGATACTCGATTCTCGATACCCAACCCTAGTCCTAAAACAACATTTATTGTTTGAATTTCATAATAATCTAACTCTATGCACAATTTTTATGTGGGAACTGGGTAGAGACAAATCGTTTAGAACAGTCAAATCCCAGTAACATTTACCTGATCACTATATTGTCTTGTCTTCTATTGAACAATGAACGACATCCAATTTCTGTCAGTGTAAACGGCTTATTTAACCCAAAAATGTCTGCATTCAAACGTGCATAATAGGTGAAAACCAGTATGTGAAAAATTAGTGTGTCTAAATAAAAGGTAAAAAGTACTCAGATTGCACTTCTGGCAAATCCAGAGCACACTACACTACACCATGAAGCCAAGGGACAGCATACATACTCTGACGCTGCAAAAAATCATCTTCCACTTGCTTAGTTGCTGGTGTAAACAGGGCTTTAAAAGAGGTAGTTTACCCAAAACATAATTTACTCACCCTAATGTTGTTTCAAATCTTTATGCTTTTCTTTCTTCTGTGGAACATAGAAGGTATTTTGAATAAAAAAATGACTTAAAACATGAAAAATAGGTTGTCTTGGACCCTTTTGGCTTTCATTATATGGTCAAAAACAGTTTAAATATCTTGGTTTTGGGTTCCACAGAACAATGAAAGTCATACATTCCTTCAACCAATGATAATGACACCCTGTCTGGAGAGCATGTATCAGACAATTGGCATTTATTGATCACTGATTTCACTTTAATAATTAAGGCTAAGAGCTGAAAAGGGAAACTCAGGTCAGAGGTCAACTTCCATGTGACCCATTTGTGACTGACCCATGTAGCTCATCCTGTGCTCTGCAAGACCAGACTTGGCTGTGGTAAATTAGGGCAGGCAACAATGGCCAAAAAACATTTCACAATCCATCAAGCTTTCCAAATCCTTTCTGCCCCAGGGCACCAGGCTGTGGAAGTTTAGTCAACACATTGTCAGGGGAGGATATAAGGTGATACATCTGAATATAAGCCAGGCTCTTGTTTGCTTTTCCCTTTCTTTCTCTCACACTTTATTGTTTCCATTTAATTCAGAAATGGGGCTGAGAAACATTTTGTCAGTCTGTGTTTGACAATACGCTCACCATGACTGAAAATCTGTTTTCACTTCCATAACTATTGAAAGATGGCATTTTCAGACATAAAGGGAAAAGGCTACATAATCAGACTAATAGAGGTAAATAAATCTGATGTTGAATGACATCATTGGCAGGATTGACATCATTCAAGTGGCTTCTGCCAAAAAATGAAGTAATCCCGTCTGAGTGATTAACAGCCAATAATCAGAGGCACGGGAACTGTGTGTGACAAATCAGATCCTGCCATAAGCCTTTTGTGAAACTGTATGGTTGGTTTCAAGATGTAGTTGGGTTATGAGTCAACTGGTTTGTACCAGTTGCTGAAGGCAGAGTGCCACAGGGAACTGCAGCAATTGCTGATATATTCGAGCCCGTTCTCATCCCAAAGCGCCATATAGGACGCTTTTGCAAAAGCGTAAATATCCAACACACATGGCACCCTTTAACGTGAAATGGGACGCAGATATATTTGGGCAGAAGGCGCCCCCTAGTGGTCTAACCCTTACCCTACACCTTACCTAAACTTAACCATAACCGAAGCGTCTCATTAGACGTTAAAGGGTGCCATGTGCGTTGGATATTTACGCTTTTGCAAAAGCGTCCTATATGGCGCTTTGGGATGAGAACGCGTTGTATATTCGGTACATCTTGATTGCAAGTATTATTGGGTGATTCCGTATAAAATCAACCAAATTTCAGAAACTTCCCCAGCTCAATTAGAAAGATGGTAGCTAGCATCATTATTTTATTTGTACACAGAGATTGACATGTCTATTAGTAAAATGTGTTGAGTTAATCAATCTTTGTTACATTATATGCCAATGGTGCCTGCCTCAAAATAACTCAATATAACTCAAAATGTATATATGCTTTTACATTTTGTTTTTTAACAAACTTTTCTTTTAGTATCCATATTTTTAAGGTCCCAGAGATATTGGGACCTCAATATGGCACTTAGGCTGCATTTACACTGCAGGTCTTGATGCCCAAATCCGATTTTCTGACTATATCCGATTTTTTTGACGACCTGCTTGCATCATCTTTTAAAAGTGACCCATATCTGATTTTTGCATTTACACTATACACTGCTGAAACTACCAAATGCAGACGTTCTGACCCGGGAAATTAAGCAAAACAGCGCGAAATTCAACGGATGCAGATGCGAATAAAATTATCCAGTGTTTCTTTCCACAATATTTCAATAAGTCATCTAAACATTGGTCTCGTACGGCGGAAGAAAAGAGGAGAGGCACTGTAGCCACGAGCACTTAAAGGGTTAGTTCACCCAAAAATGAAAATTAAGTCATTAATTACTCACCCCCATGCTGTTCCAACCCCGTAAGACCTTCGTTCATCTTCGGAACACAATAAAGATATTTTTTTATTGAATCTGAGAGCTGGATCAGTCCTATATAGACTGCCTAAGGGACTGGCTCTTGACGGCCCATAAAGTCATTAAAGAAAAGGTTTAAATATTCCATGTGCCTACAGCGGCTCAATTATAAGTTTATCAAGCGACGAGACTACTTTTTGTGCGAAAAAAACATAAATAACGACTTTATTCAACTATTCCATTACTTCCTTATGGGCGCATGCGCGAGAACTGAGACGAGGACGTTCTTCTTCGTCTACTTCTTGTTACCGGCTGCTCACCGCTTAGGAGTTTTACCGCCCCCTACCGTATAAGATGATGTGCTGATTTAGCTGGAAGCGCGAAACTTTCTGTTTACAAGCAGAGGAAGACGCGCACTGTACATACGCTTTTCAATTTGCGTATTTTCCGCACTATAAGGTGCACTTAAAAGCCTTTAAACTTCTCAGAAAACGACAGTGTTCCTTATAATCCGGAGCGCCTTATATATGGATCATCATTTCATACGGTAGGGGGCGGTAATACTCCTAAGCGGTGAGCAGCCGGTAACAAGAAGTAGACGAAGGAGAACGTCCTCGTCTCAGTTCTCGCGCATGCGCCCATAAGGAAGTAATGGAATAGTCAAATAAAGTCGTTATTTATGTTTTTTTTTCGCACAAAAAGTAGTCTCGTCGCTTGATAAACTTATAATTGAGCCGCTGTAGGCACATGGAATATTTAAACCTTTTCTTTAATGACTTTATGGGCCGTCAAGAGCCAGTCTCTTAGGCAGTCTATGTAGGACTGATCCAGCCCTCAGATTCAATCAAAAATATCTTTATTTGTGTTCCGAAGATGAACGAAGGTCTTACGGGGTTGGAACAGCATGGGGGTGAGTAATTAATGACTTAATTTTCATTTTTGGGTGAACTAACCCTTTAAAACGATGCCTCATATCTCGTGAAACGTCTTCAAAAACGGATTTATTTCTGTAACAACCCTGCACTCTTCACCCCAAACACTCAAAAGACATGAAACCTCCGCATTGCTCCACTGTATGTATCCTTTCTTCTATCGTGCCTATAATCGCGCACTTTTTAATGAAGTACGACTCGCATTACCGGGGAATATCCGATTTGTCTGCTTACATGGCACGCGCAAATGCACGTATCTGATTCATATCCGATTTATTACCACATATGAATGAGGCCTGAATCCGATCTGAGAAAATCAGAATCAATGCGTTTTTTTTCCCGCACACGTTCACCGGTCATATCCGATCTGTGCCACATGAGAGGAAAAAAAAAAATCGGATTTGGGTCACTTGAACCATGCAGTGTAAACGAGGCCTTAGAGTAAATTGTTAAATTCACTAAAGTCACTTTGCACACAGCTGATACTTATTGTATTTAAGTATCAGCATTGCAATCTTGACATCGCAGCCTGTTCATTATGCGGTCACACCAAACGCGAATAGAGCGCCAAATTCGCGTCTAGTTCGACGCTAGTCCAAAGCGAGTATGCACGTATAAAGCCAAGTTAGACAACGTTAGTTTGTTTGGCTTACTTTTTCAAGTGTTGGAGACACAAAGAGCATGTTTGTGTATGTTTACAGGCTAGATAAACACAGAGATGCCTTAGTATCTTGAGTGTGAGTTTGCATAGGCCTCCAATCTGTCACTCAAGCATTGGCGGTGTCGAATGCCAGAGCAGATGTTCCACCGGCTTTAAATCTCAAACAAGGGACTAAACAAACTGTATTGTTGGAGATTTCTTGAAGAGGTCCATGTATCATAGTCAACAGCACTTTAGGCTAGGGGGTCATTTATCATTCGACCACGATTCTCATCTGGATTAACAGGGGCTCATTCTCACTTCTATTCCTGCAGAGTGACGGCCCAGCGAAGTGTCGAAGATGCTGAGGAGATCGAGAGAGAAAGGCGACGTCGGGCCCGGGAGGCTTTCCGCAATCAACATAGCCTGTCTAGATCTGCCGGGTCCCCTCAGGACAGTGTGAACCACCCACCTGAGGCCAGCCTGTAAGTTTCAACGTCATTCTATACATCGCACTTCACCTGGTATTTGTTAAGCTTGTTTTGTTGCCTGGCAGATTTCCATATGAAATATGGAAATGTGGACTTGCAACATGTCTGGTTCTCATTGCAGCTTATTCTGGCCAAGAGCTGTCCACTTAGACAGAAGGAGACGTCTGACCGACATGTAAACAACTACAGTTTTTGTTTAGTTTTTGGGTCAAAAAAGAATGTCCATAATAAATAAAAGGAAAAACTTAGTTTAAAACAGAAGTGCCATGTTCTTCGAAATGTAATCTTTGTATTCATGTGGTTTTCATATGGTTTTGAAAAACATGTGTAACCATCAAGTAAAAAATAACAATGTATTTTCCTAACACATTGAAAACATGAACACATCTTAACCACTATTTTGAAAAACGTGTTTTAATATATTATTGATGTTAAAATAAATTTATATCAACCAAATACAGAAGTTTGTTGCGCATGACCCGCATTCTTTAAAATAAACCTTATCATTGTATATATCATTATCATTCATAAAGACTAAGTAAGTACTAAGTAACTCGAGTTATGTAATCAGATTACTTTTTTCAAGTAACTAAGTAATGCATTACTTTTAAATTCACAAAATGATTCCATAATTTTTTTTTATATATATATATATATATATATATATATATATATGAAGAGTTCAGATGCAAAAGCCTCTAAATGCCATTTGAAATTTTCTTCTTTAATGATGATTTTTATGAAACCTGTATATTTAAGTTCAGTAATTTCACTTAAATAACAATTAATAGGTAATTATCATTGCCATTTAAGTGAAATTACTGAACTTAAATATACAAGTTTGATAAAAATCATCATTAAAGAAGAAAATTTTAAATGGCATTTAGAGGCTTTTGCATCTGAACTCTTCATATATATATATATATATATATATATATATATATATAAATTACATATATATTATATAAATATATATATATATATATAAAAGTAATGCATTACTTAGTTACTTGAAAAAAGTAATCTGATTACATAACTCGAGTTACTTAGTACTTACTTAGTCTTTATGAATGATCTCAGGACAGTACAACAACCGCACCCAAATAAAATAATATACAATTTTAAACAGAAATTAAAACATGCTTTTCATTAAAATAAAAATATACAATTTCCAAAAATAACATTCATGCACTTCTATGTGTGAGTTGCATTTTTTAATGTATTTTTGAATAGATTTACATATCTGAAAAAAGGAGCATTAAGTCGTTGATGGTGAGGTTGGACTTCGCAAAATGTCTGTTTAGTTTTCTTTCTCTCTTGTTTTCTCACAACCAAAGACATGTGCACATGTACAGTGGGCGGCACAGCTGGTCTCTCATCATTACCTAATCTCTGAAGAAATTTCAGCAAGGCATGCCTTTGGAACAGGGTTTGTCATATCCCACACCATAGTGCTTTGCTTTTAATCAAGTAAACATTAAGGACCTCGCACACATTTTATATGTGTGAAGTTAAACACAGCTGTCTGAGTCAACCTGTTCAAAGCACAAATAGGTCGTCTAGGGCCACTTTGTGATTATCCTTGATCAGAGATTAGAAGCTCACTCTTGGCTTAGATACACATGAATAATTTTAAGACTTTTTAGATCGGTTCAACATAAAAAGAGTTTTTTAGTAATGCATGCGCAAGAGTTTTTGGATTCATACAATAAGCTTTCGGAGAAAGTAAATAAGCATGGCTATTCTGTATTGAATTGTAATGACTGATTGTTGATGTTCGCTGAAAATCTGCTTAATAATCTTGTGGAATGTGCTTGGCATTCCTTTCCGGCAGGTCCTGGGCAGATGAAATAGATTTTAATTCAAGGCGTCACAATGAACAGAAAATAGTAAGAGGGGCAGATGGTGTCTGTGAAAACAGCTTTTTTTTTAATCTGTATTTTGAGTGTTTTAATTGTAGGTGTGTTTTAACTTTTTGCGAAGCCTTAGACAAATTCGCGAAGTCCCTTAGACAAATTTGCGAAGTCCCTTAGACAAATTTGCCATGGTAAGAATAGTTTTCACCTAAATAGTGTATATGGGTCAGTGACGTGACCTGTTAAGCAAAAATACATTAAAAAAAGCAATTTATACATACAATGACAACATAACAAATATTTTTGATATTTGAAAAATGTATATCTGCCAAATCCACGTGGTATGAGCCAACTTTACAACCAACATCCAGATAAAACCGAACAAAACAACAGAAAAGGATAAATATGAATAAGTAATCCATGATATTTGCATTTTTTCCTTGAACAATAGATTTAATAACTTTTAAATAAATAAAAATTTAACTTTTCTTGAAAATATTTTTTCAAAACCATACGACACCAACATGAATACAAAGAGTGCATTTCTGAAAGTGCCGTCACATAAGGCAAAAAAGTCCAAAGTATATATGGTCAATAATGTTGCTATATTTGAAGCGCAGCTCAAACAGAAGTCGATGTCGCAGCTGGAAAAGCATTATACAGGGTTGTATGACAATGATTATCTCTGGTACTGTTTATGTACTTTATTGAAAGTTAGAAGTTTCTAATGTGAGACCTTAATTACCATACTGAAAGCGACAATGGATAATTCATTTTGAAAACAAATTAAAGGAAACAAGAACGTCCAAACTGTCAACTCAATGTGAACAAAGTATATTTTATGAAAATGATGTTGAATTTATTAAATTATTTTTGTGTTTATCCATTTTGTTGCGAGTGCAGTGCGCTTGTAGATAGACTCCACCCAAATGCTCTTCTGATTGGCTCTGATTTTTGATTGATTTTGATGGGCCTCACAGTCATGTCGCATCTGGTGTGGAAAAATTAGGCCAAAAAAAGTGTAATTGGAATCTTATCGCAATGCGTCAGAATTGTACAGAGTTAGAAGAAAGAGTTCTCTATAGAACCTTAAAGGGATTTGTTAAGTGCATATAACCTTTTATGTTTCCCATCATCATGACATAACTTCACAGATTTTAGTTAAGTAATTATGTTTTTATTATTATTATTATTATTATCATTTAAATGTTTATAGTTTATAGTAACCCTGTTACAGTTTATAGGCCCTCCAGGAACAGAGTTTGAGACCACTGCCTTTATTATAGAACCTTTTTGACATTAAGCCTTCTATAAGATTGAGTCAAGAACCCTAGGGTTCTATATAGAATTTTCCCCCGTTTCTAATAGTTTCTATGCAGTAAGGCGAAAATCCACAATCCAGGGATGCATTTTTGCATTTAATCTACACTACTTTTTAAACTAGCATCACTGCCTGTTTTTTGTTTCAAAGCTCCATGAAACAGTTCACATTATGGAACATTATGCATTTCATCAAAATCCTCTGGTTGCCCATGGCAAATGAAAGAAAACAACAACAAACAACCAACCACCTTTCAGATCCTCACACGCACCTCAAACATCTGTTTTCTGAGGAACGTGTTTGAAGTCAGCCTCTCGTGTTAATAGGCTGGCACAGTGACTTCAGCGCATAGTTTCTTTCATCAAAGAAACACCATCACAGGTGTGTGGGCTCAAGCGTGCCTTCACTGACTGGGGCCGTTCATGCCTGACTGACTGTTAACTTGCCCAGATTCCCTATGAATGTGATTATATAGGTCTGCCTCTCGTTCTAGTAAAACGTTCCAGTGTCTCACCTCAAAGTAATTGAGTCTAAATCATCTTAAAGAAAAGGTCAAGTTTTTGTTCGTTTTGGGAGAGCAGGATTGAGTATACTTTACCTATTTTGTAAATCGAATAAACATATATTAATTTAATGTAGAAACTAAACACAGGCATTACATGGCAAAATAATATTAAAAGAAAATAACCTCAGGAATCGTGATAGCAACATGCTAAAACGTGTTAGCATTGTGCTAAATCGTTCAACAAACATGTTAACATGTTAGGAACGAATGTTGAATCATGCCTGCAATGTGCTAAATCATGCTAAAACATGTTATCAATGTGCAAGAGCATGTTAATAACATTTTATTGACTGAGTAAAACCTTAGTATCAAGCGTCAAGTTATTTCACACTTTAAGATAAGGCTTTGTCAAGCCAACATCAAGGTTTGCCATCAAACTTGTTACAGTAAAATTCTGTTACATGGTTTTTGTAAGTAAAAAATAAGACATTCTCAGAGTCCCCTTTTCTTTCACTCAGCGCCATCTTTGAAATGCCTCTCGGGCTATTTCAGTCATACTAGCTCAGCTTCTATCTCTTTGAATGTGGAATCATCAAATTCTCCAAAGCTGTTCACAAAATTTAGGATTGAATTTCATTGTTGATTTCAAACATAAAATTCAACTTTCTCTTTACCATCTGTTTGTAAAGTCGGCATGAAATGGGAGTTGCAATAATCCATTGTGACATATATCCAAGTTAAACAGCTTCTTGAACAAAACAAATGTAGAGCAGGACTTGGTGTGTGGAATTTGGTATATTATCATTATTTCAGTTAAAAAAAAAAAATGTATTTTAACAGTAAATTTAAGTACAATTTGTAAAATGTCAATCAGTTTGCTGTCCATTTTTTTAACCATAAATTTCACATTATTTTAAAGTGCAGGAAATAAATAGTGATTAAAAATGAGTTAACTTTTTTTAGTGTATGTTTGAAAGCAAGATTAAAATCTCCGTTTCGCACTACAGTTTAATACACATGCTAAATCTGCTAAGCAATGGCTCTTTGAAGATGTTATACTCATAGTTGTGTTGTTTTTCAGCTACGAAAGCGAACTCAAACCCAGCAGAAATATTGCTGTGGATGAGGATGAAGGTTTCAGCGATTGGACCCAGAAGTTGGAACGGAAAATGCGGCCGAAAATAGATGAGAATGGCATTGGAGAAGAGTTGCAAGAGAAGGAGAAAAATGTAAATCCAATATCTAGACAAAGAGAGAAAACCAGCTTCACCACCTCCAAACAGTATCAGCAAATTCAGGACAGGGAGGAAGAGGAGAAAATACCAGAGATGAGGAGCGCTGAGAGACGAATGGAGATCAGTGAAAGGGTGAGCAGTCAAAAACCAGAGGAATGGCATGATGACACGACCGACAGCAAAAGACAACAGGAAATAAAACCACCAAAGGAGAACAAGGTGCCAGGAGAATTGTTACAATATTAGACGTACAGTACATCTTTCCATGTATGTTACCATGTATAAATCATAACCATCACTCACAGATAAAAGAGGAGAGGAAGGAGGTAAAGGTGTCATACACATCTAAAGTCTTCCTACAGCAAGACAGAACAACTAATGGCAATGAAGAGGCGTCTGCAGAGGAAATTACATCACATCTTATCAAAACCAAAAGATCACCGAGGTAAGCTGATCCTACACACTTTCTGACCCATAGGTTTTATGCTGTCATATTAGTGATGCTTTGATGGATCGGTCGATATTGACTAAAAATAGCTTGATTGGCAAATAATAGCTTGATTGGTCAGATGGCCCAGTGAGTCAGCTTGATTGGTCTAAAACTCAGCCATTGTACACAATGTAAAGACAATAACAATATCGTTGATTTTAACATATCAATTTGAGCACGAGTCATTTATGAAACATTGGACCCGAACCTCCATTGCAGGGACGACATGAGCAGGATGTTTCTCAGTGATACACAACTTAGTTTAACGTACAACATGAGATGTAACAACTGTAATACCTCACAGCATTCCATCAGCATTAACACGTGTTTGTCCATCAACAAACAGATGTGTATATTTCTAACTTATTGCGGTGCACATGTGGGAACTGCATTGTATCTGTATCTGTTACCCCTTTTCCACTAAGAAAAGAGCTGGTTCGGAACTGGTGCTGGTTCAAAGTTGGTTCGGAGTTGGTTCAACTTGCTCAACCTATTTGTTTTTCCACTGACTAGAGCGCCCAGGGAACGACCTCGTTACGTCACTGTGTACGTCGCCATACGTCTTAGCTAGAAACGCTTGCAAGTACAACATTACTTTGGGATTATCTCTAACTCGTATACCAAGAAGGCTTTAAAAACAATTAAAAATATGTAAGTCTTCTAATCTTTTCGATTGGTGTGTAATCTTTTCTGATAAGTTATGTACCCCTGTTTTGTGTCTTTATTTCTTTGCTTATAAATGTCTTCAATAAAAAAAATTACAAAATAGAAACGCTTGTGTTAACTTCAAGCATAACAATTACAAAGGAGGACTCCATCGTGTTTCTGCGAATGTTTCTTTTGGCTTTGCGATCGTTTTTATGGTCGTTTTATTTTATTATGGTCAGAAAAGATGTTTAGAACACATCTAAACCCGCCCCAGATCCTGACGTAAGCATGGCGTGGTAAAAGAACGCTTCTAGTCCAGCAAAGAGTTGGTGCCGCTTTGGAACCAGTTTTCCTGGCCGAGAACCGGTTCTTTGGCTGTCGAAACACAAACAACTGGTTTGCGCGCAGGCACCGGCTCCGAACCGGCTCTCAAAATGCTTTGGTGGAAAAGGGGCTAGAATCAACAACGGTGCATACGTTAGCTGAGCGCTAGTCTCGCGTAGCCAGACCTTCAGACTGACGGCTGAAGGTCTGGAATTCATAGCAGCTTTCTTTGGCCAAGGCCCGCCCATAAGGCCGTTTGACCGACATGTCAAACAACCAATTACAGTTCGTTTCATTCAGCGTCACGTTTCGGGGCGTGTAAATGTCCCCACAACAACAGACCGGCGTGCAACAAGTCAGTCAGCAGCAGTTACCGGAGGCGCTCGTTAACAACGCTCCGCGTTATTAAATTCACCCACGAACTCGCGCCCATGTCCATCTTATGCCCGCTTTCTCACACGGCCAGTTCAACCTCGTATAAATCAGGTTATGTGTGTAAATCACGTGCCCGCTCACGAGCTCTTAACAGACACACTGTCCCCGGCGCTGCTCGTGCATCACAGTTATGTTCATAAAGCGCTCCCCGTTCACAGTAACCGGCTCGACTCATTCAAAACAGCCAGCTGTAGCGTTAGCTGGCAGCGAGCCGCCGCACATTGATTGAATACTCACATGAGTCAGGCTGCGAATGTAAGTTACGTCCCCGCCCCAGCGCGCTCACGCCTACTAAATAAACGCCTCACCTCCGGCGCCGCGCACTCGCTACATTCCCTTTAGCCTTTAGTTTAGCACATCTAGTGGATGCATAACGCAAACCCAGTCAAACGTTTGACTCTGCAGTATCTTATGTGCCTTATAATCCAGTGTGCGCCCTATATATGAATACTGAATCGGCCAGCTGCGATGTCAGCGTCTGTTATTTCATGTTTGCCCACAAACGCGGCTGATATCCCCTTCGCAATTAAGTACTTCACTTGATCTTCCATAATAGATAGGAGGGGACATACAACTACGTTTAGCTGATCTTGATTAATGCTCATTGTAACTCACATAGGTCACTCATATAAACACAACAGTTTTTCTTCCGCAATCACACATCTGCGCTTTGTTTCCCGGCGGACCGAAAATAAACGCGACACTGACGCCCCCCGGAAATCCGATAAAATTCAACCAATCAGATGACGACTTCGACATTCCTGAAGTGTTTCCAGTTAAGTGTACCATATGCATCAGACGTTTAGCCAACGTTCCGTGGGCGTGACGTCTGAGGCTGAGACTAGCGCTGACGTAAATGACTAATGTAACATTAAAGTTTGGCAAACAAATTTTACTCCAACCTTTATCTTTACTCAAAGTAGTAAAAACAACACACAATCTGCATATAGACAGAGTTTTAGGTAATAGTGGCCCACAGCTGATTAAGTATTTCAGAACGACCAGAGACACACAATATAAAACACAAAACTATGTAGGAGCTCCACCGCCTCGGGGTGGAGTCTCCATTCCCCGGGCCTCGGCCCCTGCCTCGACAGGATGTCTTCTCCCTGATGTAAATACCCCGGGATGTAAATTGCCCTCAGCGTGAGCAACTTCCCTTGGGCCCACAGGAGGATCTGGATCGCAGAATTTGGTCCTGCTAAATTTAGAGGCTTATGTCATATATGTTATAGACGTGACCTAATATTGTAGCTGCCAAAAACTCGTGCCAGGAAGCTTCTAATAGGGCTGTTAAGGGAGCTGGTTAATATCTACTCTTGTATAGCCAGACCTTTAACCGTAAGGTCTGGCCCATTCAACTTCTTATTCTGGCCAAAAACTATCCATTTCAAAAGAAAAAGACAGCCTGACTGGCACGTAAAGCGACCTACCTCAGTTTATGTACCATTTAAGGTTATTTGAGATATATTCATATTCAAATGTGTGTAAATATCATAATCTCTGTGAACATGTGGATGATAAGAATATCTGCCTGTCCAAAAGTACGTACTGATTGTTTCAGAGAAATAACAAATATGCCATCTTGAGACTAACCCCATTTTCCTGTTCTCCACTCTTCTCCAGCAGGTCTGTAAATGCAGATCAGGCCTTTGAAAGTAAGAAAGACATGCATGCCGGTTTGGAGACAGAGCTAAAGCTCGAGAAGATTAGACATAGCCACCAAGAAAAGGCGAGCCAGGAAATGGAGCACCTACAGCAGCGTCAGGCCAAGGCTGAGTTGGAGCTAGAGGAACTGAAAAAGAAGAGAGAGGAACGTCGCAAAGCTCGTGAAGAGGAGGAGCGGAGGAGAGATGAAGAGGAACAGCAGAAAACAGCCAAACAGGAGGTGGCCGAGCTGATTTAAAAACACAAATATTAGCCCAGCTAACGAATATATGTCTTTAAATGCTTTTCAAACACTCTGTTTTGGTTGTGGGAATGTTAACTTTTTTTGGAAATACTTATTTTACAAATCCCCCAGAGTAAAACAGTTGAGTTTTACCGTTTTCAAATCCATTCAGCCGATTTTCTGATATTTAGAAGAATATCAGTAACCAGATAGTTTCTGGTCTCATTGACTTCCATAGTAGGAAAAAAAATATACTATGGAAGTCAATGAGACCAGATACTGTCTGGTTACTGATATTCTTCTAAATATCAAAAAATCGGCTGAATGGATTCGAAAACGGTAAAACTCAACTGTTTAACTCTGGGGGAGTTGTAAAATGAGCCTATTTCCAAAAAAAGTGGAGTATCCCTTTAAACTGTCTAGGTTTCTTCCAGAAGCAGAACATTAATTAAAGCTTCTATTTTCATTTTGTATTAATGACTACAGGAGGAAAAGAGACAGATGAAGGAGGACATTGAGAGGAGGAGGATGGAAGCGGCAGAGAAGAGAATGAAGAATATAAACATCACTTCCACAGATGGTGATGACCCATTTAACCCTCTAAACCCAATCAGTCCAACTTTCAAGGTAACTAAATATCTTCATAAACATTCATAAAGGGATAGTTCACCCAAAAATAAAAATTGCTGTTAATTTACTCGCCATCCAAAATGTAGTTGTCTTTTTTTTATTCAGTAGAACAGTAAAGAAGATTTTTAGATGAAACTGCGGTCTTTGGTGATTTGTATAAAGCAAGTCAATGGCTATATCGTCACTTTGAGAGTCAAAAAAGCATATTGCAGGCAAAACAAAATTAATGCCCGAGACTCTTGAAAATGTATTGAGGTCTTATGATGTGAAACGGTCGGTCGCATTGTGACTTATGCACTGGAGCTCAAGGCGTTGAGAATCTGTGACAAGCCAATCTTCCCGATTGAGGTTCCCGATAGGTTGTTGTATACAGGACAAGCACTAAGTATGAGTTTGATTTATAATACAACACACACGTCCCCCTTCTCCTCCATTCCTCCAATGTCAGAGGTGCCTGAGGGTAGGTAAATTAACAGCAAATTTTCATTTTTGAATAAATAATCTTTAAAAAATATTTCTTCAATTGCATCGCAATGAAAATCTAGAAAAGCTTTCGCAACCACAAAAAAACAAAACAAAAAAAAAACAATTCTCAGACAGTGAACATTATGATGAATAATCCTGTCCTTTTTTTCAGAACACAAGCCCCATTTTATTTTGTAAGTTGCTTGTGCTTGTTGTGCTGTGATCATAACCACCTGTTTGCAGTGTACATACATTATAAGCGGTTAAACACCTCTTTTGAGTCAAGTGACGTGGTGCATGCATATTCATATGTTGATCTCCAGATAAGAATTACAGGAATATTCCAGGTTCAAAACAAATGAATATGTTTTTAAGTATCAGAGAAAATAATGATTATCTGTACTTTGTAAAATCAAACTAATAAAAATACTTCATTTTATTTGGTAACTGTTAACATGTCATTAGTGACTCATTACTAAACTTGGGATATTCCTTTAAATTGGTTTAGTTCGTTGCCATTTTCTTTTTTAAAGTTTTTGTTTCTTTGCTTGAACTACCAAAACTGTTTGAAAAGTGTTGCTTGTTTCTTTGCTGCATTTGCTTTACAGTTAATTATAAAACAGCTGTGTTTTTACACATACACTCATGGGACTTTAATTTTGTGTACATCTTGTAAAATTTATTCGACAAATTTTTCCATTTCTTGAAGACATTTTATCAGTTCGGACACAACCGATGAGTTGAATTTCATCAATAAATGGAAAAGCACATGTTTAGAGGCTCCATAAAAAATTTAACATGACATTTTGTTATGATCAAGCATTCGCATAGACATATTCATTAATGAACTGTCCTAGATTTTCTAAAAACAGGATCATACATCCAGAAGTTGGAATAAAATGAAAACATAATGGTAGATTTCATGACCAGTGGTGCTTGCACAACAAACAAACTCATAACCCTAACTAGAGACTAGAGTATCATAGAGACTTGTGGCATGGACAACTACCAAAAAACCAACCAGACCATCTTAAAAACCACATAGCAACACCCTGGCAACTACCCAGCATTATGACGGTGAGGTTGCACAGGCAATAAGTCTGCAGACTCTTTAATGTCTGGGGGATCGGTCTCTACTCAGCCACTTAGTGGTTCAGTCTAAACACAAAATGTAGGTCATGAGCCTACTGTAGCAAAGCTGAAATTTATAGCTAGGCTGGCTTTTATCCAATGGTATCCAAGGTCTACCCACAAAGATGCAGAACATAGTGTGAGGGGCACAAAACCTGGTCCCCTGAGCAATGGAAAACAAGTAATATAGTCTTATGAGTCATCTTCCTACACTGCAAGATCCTAAGGCCAATTAACACTGCACCGATAGACGCAGACCAACACCCTCAGTCACCAAGGAACGGCACGTCACTTCTCAGACATTATAATTCCGATTTAGCATGTTTAGTCAGGGAACACAAGCTTTGACAGATGCCAACAGACTCTGAGAGAGGTAACACACTGATCAAAGTTACGGTTGCCGTCTGTCTGTGCCGTCTAACGCTACATCCACATTATCCGGTTTTTCGGTTTCTTGCCATTGTTGCCTTTGGCTTGCTCAGTTGGGGATATTCAAATTAAATGACCCATCATACCATTGATCAGCTCTATCAAACTTGATTGTCTTTTTTTTTCATGAATAAACTAACACTGTTATGTTGTCTTGATTGATACTGTGAAGCATCTTTGATACAATCTGTATTGTGAAAAGCGCTATATAAATATATTTGACTTCACTTGACTTGATTTTAAAACAGTTTTCATTTCAACACGCTCCCCGTCCAAGCGTTTAAGTAGCTCATCCACATTGAAACATCTGAAAATGCTTAAATTACCTTACTGAGCACACATAAATACTAAATATTTAGGGGACGGGCTATCTGAAATAAATGATTTTTTGTTCTCATCTCTCAACTCTGTTCTGTTCTTCAAATCTGTTTGGCCTCATTCTTCTTTCTACCACAGCCAATAAATTGACATGAAAATGACATTTGACCTCACAAGCATTAGTTTGTAAAACCCTAAATGATCTGGGCCCGTATTCATGAAAATTCTTAGTGCAAAGAGTTGCTCCTAGTGACAAATTTCCCCTTAAAATTTACAAGTAGATCCTAGTAAAGATAAAAGTTATTCACAAAGCATCTTAACCCTTAAAAGAGCTCTTAAGGTCAAAAAGTGTTAGGAGAAGGGAGGAGGACTTTTAAGAGGCTTACGAGTTTCTTCAGCAGAAGAGAAAATGGCAGAAAGAAAATGCTGCAGACAATGGATGACAGTGAGTTAATGAGACATTATAGATTAGATTGTGCAGGAATGATGTTTGTGAACGAGATCTCCCACACAGCACAGAAATGCCATATAGCGTCGGCAATTAAAGTAATCACTACATTAAGATATTTGGCAACTGGAAAAATGCAACTATGCTCCAGTGATTATTTGGGTCTGTCACAACCTTCTATAAGCAGAGTGATCACTTAAACAATTATAGCACTATATTAAAAAAACAACATTCAAACCACCACATAAATAGACACGCCAGCAATCCTAAATGAATCATTCAACTTAAAGTCCATTCACTGCTATTTTTCCCCTTCAATAATTTTAGTTCACTGACTGAATGATCCAGTCACAGCAATTCTCAAGGTAACAGTTCACTGGAGGGGAAATGACTACCTTTTGTTGCTTGATCACTGCAGAACTGTTCGATTGTTTTCCAACTCTGCTTGCAACTTTTTTTAATATTAAACTTTTTTTTTATTTTTTATTCTAGATCACAGAGAGAACAGAATCACTGAATCGATCTTTAAAGAAAAGGTGAGTTCACGCAACAACATAACATCATTATAATCTTGATGTTACACAGCAAACGAGCATGTGGCCAGTGTAAATTACTTGACCTTTTTGGCCTCAGTGACTGCTATAAATGGCAGATTCTTACAAGTATGTTGGCTAAAATGCTTGTTGTCTAAATGTAAATAATGACAGGTGGCATAGGTCACTATAATAATTTTGTTTGTCCACCGCCTTGTCAGCAATGATTTATGGGCCGGCTAACTTCAACCAGGCTGTATGCTTTTTCTGATGTCTAGTAAGATATTGTGGTGGATTAAAACAAGACTTATCACCAATGTACAAAAAAGTTCATGGCACTACGTAAACAATGATAATAAAAAATGTTACACCTTTTTTGTTGCAATTTTGTAACTTTTTTTCTAATTTCTAACTTTTTTTATCTAATATATGTATTTTATTTCAATTAAATGATTTTTTAAAAAATATTTTAGTTAACAATAACAACACTGGTTCGTATGTACCAATCAAGAATTGTTGTATTGAAAACAGTAACAGTTTCAAGAAGTCCCAGAGACCCGTCCTCCTGCCTAAGATTGACGACAAACTGGAACAATACACGCATGCAATCCAGGTTCAATTTACAGTCTCATCATACTATATGTTATGCTTTCATGTATCAGTATATATTAGTTTCTTGTCAAAATGTGCACAACTTCTTATTTTAGTATATAATGCCTTGTTTAACAGTCTCTTGTTAAACGCATTGTTTAGGACTACCAGGCCTGTCTCGGGCAGCATTTAAACTAATGGATTAGATGTTTATATTTAGAGTATCTCTGCCTCCTGACACAGTCTATTGTTCAATATGCATTTTCTTAGAAACAATATTTCACTCTTGACTAGCCCTAATGTGTTTCAGAACTCGTCTAAAGAAGCAAAGATGACTAAGCCAGTAGTAGTGGATATGCCATGTGTCTCTACTCCGGTGGCCTCCAAAAAAAATCTGTTTGAAGCAGGAGAGGCCTGGAGTCAAACCAGCCTAAAAGGAACGCCCTCAAAGGTCAGAAATCAGATGGTCACTTATAGCAAAATGAAAGGAAAGCTTTCAAAATGCAAGCACAATAAAATCATAAAAGTGTTCCACACAACTCTTATGATAAATTTCAAATCTGTATGGGAGTTCTGTGTGAATGAAAAAATTAAAGAACTTTTAAATATTATGAGGGAAAACAAAGAGGTCAGTGCACTTCTATTATTACTATCAGATTGTGCAAGTATGGAGGTCATGACTCATGAGGCATGAGTTTAGCAGCGTGAGATAAGTCATGGAGTGTGGAACAACATCTGTTCTTTACACTTTCACACTCAAACACAAACAGTTTGCCAGAGTCTGACACACATAAAGATCAATCAGTTGGGAAGATGTTGTGTAACGAAGTCTCTGGTAACATTAGCAAAATCATTCATAACTTTATGAATTCTGCTTCACCACACCCCCAGGGCCTGAGCACCGATGGTGTGAGAACCCTCTTGGAATTGCTCTGTTTATTTGTTTTTGCTATTTATACTTTTTTGGAAGAGTGCTAATTTATGTACGGTTCTATATTTTTAGGATACAGACATTGTGAAAGTCGGAGTAGCAACTTTGATCAACCATTGGGTGAAAGGAAGTCCAGAAGGCGGGAACAGACACTCCCCTTCCACACCATCTGTGAGTCTATTAATGAACCTGGCTAATGTTAACCACTGGGATAAGGAGTTAAATGTATTTGACCCATGGTGGAGTACAAACTGTAATCGTAATACAGTAAAAATACCAATTTTAATCAAGTAAAATCACAAAATAATGCATTTCTAGTGCCCCCTTGTGGCAGAATGATCTACTGCAACTTTTCACAAAATCCAGTTCATCAATCATCGTGTCTCATAAACTGCAATATTCTTTGATGTGGATATGTGGTTTATAATGTTAGTGATTAAGGTCTAATGAAAAATACTTCAGATCATTCCATCCAGATGTAATGAACATTGTTTCTTTCAAATGTAAGGACTTTTGAAGACAAAACATTCCTTGCTCATTGAAAATGATTAGGCTACACAACAGCAATTTATCTTTGAATCATTAATCAAGTGACGCTTGTGAACATTAGGATTATGTAATGTCTCTTTAAGTTTAAAATGACATCCCCTGGTTTATATCAAACAAATAGCTCAACCAACAATCGTTTACTCACCAACACGTTGTTCCAATTTACTTTCTTTTGTGGAACACAAAACGAGCAATTCTGAAGCCAGTTCCTCTCTCTTCCATGCAATTACAATGAATGGGAATGGTAGATTTCCAGTTTCTGAAAGGACACAAAAGCACCATAAAAATATTGTGAAAGTAATCCATACAAAGGTTATTATAGTTTTGCATTATAAATTAAGTAGTTTTTATTTAAATATAATCATCAAATTTGCCATAAATTATATTTAAAAAAAATATAATATATATTTGTATTATATTTTTTATAATAAAACGCTCGCAGACGCCTCGCCGAGCCCAGAAAAATATCTAGCCTGCTAGATATCCAGAGCCATCGCACGACTCAATCTCAGTGATGTCATGAGTACAACCAATCATAGCAACGCATGGGTTGAGGACACCAGGTAAATCTTAGTTTTTATATTTGTTTTGCATTTTTTTCTCAGAGCAGATCGTCGCGCAAACAAACAGTGTGCAGCACTAGTTTCTGTCAGACGTCCATATTCACGTGTTGCGTTCTCTTCTGCGCTGGGTATAGGCGCACGTGCTGTTTCGCGTCATTTCTGGTTCGTTTTATTGCTGGTTTTTCGCGACAAAACGTGGTTTGTAAAGATAGAATCGTTGGGTGACAGAGTTGTTGTCAACTCGTTATTTATTTGATTATTTTCATGATTTAGACCGTACCATAGTACTGAAACAGCTCTCATTAGAGTCAAAAATGATTCGCTCTTATCATCCGATCGTGGTTGTATCTCTATGTAGTACGTTGTGAACAGCTAAACAACTTGAACACTCCTGATTTCACAGAGAGCAAGTCATGTAGTGTGAACCGCACAGTTCAGCCCGACGTTTTAAAATCATGTAGTGTGAACTAGGCTTTAATGTCCAAGCAGAGCATAAGCAAATTGATTGTTGAGGCTATCTCTATGGTTTCTGAGGCACATGACCTCTAAGTTGCCTCTAGTTGTGAGGGCCCATTCTATTAGGAGTACAGTAGCATCTAACGCTGCCTTCACACTGGCAGTTGAAATCAGCTCCGTAATACGCAATACGTTCCCAACGGATGTCGTACTACACAGTGAATAGTGTCGGACGCGGGTAGAACAAAAATGGCGGAGAGATTAAAGTTTGATTCTGTCAGTTCTGTATGATCTCTCTGATTAGGGTTATGCTGCGTGAGGAAAGTTGCTCAGGACGTTGACGTCAGGTCGGCTAAAAAATGTGATATAGTGGTCAATAGTTCAATGTCTACCTTCAATTTAATTGTATTAACTGCCCTTATAAACGTTAGAAAGTCATGAAAATAAAAAATGACATCACAACTTATCGTTATAAAATCAATATTTATTTTATTAAAAGTTAATAATTCAGGTTTGTTTATCAGTACCATAGCAACGGTCAACTTCGGCTGGAATTGTCGGATAGGAACCGTCCGTAGCTTTTCGCAAGAGTTCAAATTTTTGAACGCATCCGGATGACCAACGGACACGATTTTCTTCGCACCGCACTCGGTCGGAGCCGTTTCGGACCCATTCGCATGCGGTCTGCGAATCTCCATAGGAAATGAATGACTTCCGGTCGTTTCGCAGCCGCATCGGAGCTGATTTCAACTGCCAGTGTGAAGGCGGCGTAAGGCTTAACTGTCAGGAGTTTCTCTCCAAGTGTATGGTGCGGCAGGCTGGGCCTCTTCACACAAATTCATCAGATTTTACAGCCTGGATCAAGACTCTACACCAGGGTCCCAGGTGTTTATCTCCTAGGCTTTGGTCGTCATGATTCACACTATGACATGCATTTGTCAGTATGGTGCAGACGGTATTATTGTTCTCATAGCATCAACATTCTGTTGGGACAGGACCAACATTCTGAAGGATGCGTTGAGTTCCCTCGAAAGTGAACGTTACCCATATTTTAAAGAGAACAGAACATAGACGTATCAAATGTTTAATCTGTTGATGCCATTTAAAAGAAAAAATAAGGTCAATTTGAATTTGATGGATTTAATGTGTCTCAAAAAAGTTGGGACAGGGACATATTTATAGCATAGCATCCTCGTTTTCCCCTTCCTTCTCAGGGAGCCCGGGTCACTGTCATAACAGACGTTCAACTCACTAAATGATCTAGTCACTCATTTAGTGAACAATGTCTTAAATTTCAGGTGAACTATTCAATAAAAGGGTGTTATAGCCAGGAACAAAACAGCAGATTTAGGAGAATAAAGTCATTCTCAGCAATGTTTATTGTTCCTTCTAATGTTCATTCACAGGATCTTAAACCTGGAGATGTTCTGCAGAAAAAGAACATGTGGGAAATTATTGGAGAAGGTTCTGCGGCAGAGAAGCCAGGACTGGGAGGAAAGGTAAAGAATTTTGTACTGATAAACCTCAAAATCATAAAAATAGGTTGAGAATGAGTCACTTGCTTAATGCCATTTCTTTTACCCACCTTTTATATTTTTAGGGCTCCTCCTCAGGTAAACGGTACAAGTTTGTTGTGACAGGCCATGGCAAATACAACAAGATTTGAAGGTGATCACTACAGTGTCTACCCAAATGGAAAACCAAGTGAGACAACTATTTTACATAATAAAATCTCAAATTTGAAAGCTTTTTAAAATAAAAAATAAAAACAACTCTATTAAAAATTACTCCTTGTGAGAACATTTAAATGGATCATGAGTTTTTATTATCATTTCATGTTTCCTGGCGCTAATAATGATTTTTACAGCAGAATTGTCATAATTTAGAATTAAAAGGCAATTTCTCTCCCCTGACTTTAGTCCTTTAGAAAATTGCATAAACCCATATTTTACTCGCAATAGAAAATAGAAAACAAATAAAATGTTTAAACTGAAGAAATGTACAATTGTGAGGATAAATTAAGGTAATTTAGATTTTTTTGGGGGAACATAAGTTGGGACAGGGTCATGTTTATCACTGTGTCCCAACCACTTTTTACAACAGTCCGTATACATCTGGGAACTGAGGAGACCAGTTGCATGGAGTTTTGGGAAATAAAAGTCTTTAGATACTCTTTTTATACCCAATCATGTTACTGACCTGTTGCAATTAACTCTATTAGTTGCTTAATGTTCCCGCCAGCTTTTTCTTTTTAGTAACACTTACTTTTCCAGCCTTTTGTTGCCCCCGTCCCAACATTTCTTAAACGTGTTGTGGAAATCGAATTCAAAATTAACTTCTTTTTTTTCCCCCGTTTCCATCTACATCCCATCTTTTTTAGAATAGTGGTTGTACATCTGGAACTCTCTCGAAAACTTTTACGTTTTTAGTGTTAACTGTCAAGATCTAATCATGAACAGTGTTAATTATAGCGTTATATTTCGATCTTCTGCCAACGCATGAAAGGTTGCAGCAATGGGCATTATAGCTGACACATTCTGTTGAGTGCATGAATGCAGTGATCTAGTCATCACAACTCAATTTTTGTACTCATAATGAATGCTTTCATCATAACCAACAGTGCGAACATGATGTAAATAAGAGATTCATTGTGCAGTGTAGACGGCACAATGCCATCAATGGGGGTTTTGTCGAGAGTCCAGAACTCTGACAAAATCATTGTCTTATTGACAGCTCCAGCGATTATAAAAGGGATGGTTCTTTGATCACTTTCTGTATGTAAATTAATCACAATTTAAATAACAAGTTATTTGAATGCTATAAAGAGAAATAATGTTAATTTGACCGTTTAGTCACTGGCTTGATTTACAGATGCATAAACAGCAAAAAAAATGATTATGAGAAAAAGAATGTGTAACTGCACATGAATCCATACATATCAGAAATCACTGACCACAGATCAGGCATTAGAATTGACACGGTTACTTATGTTGCGGCATTACAGTCAGGTTCATATCTTACAGTGAAAGTTTACAAAGCCTGACAAGTACATATACATATACATATATATATATATATATATATATATATATACATATATATATATATATATATATATATATATATATATATATATATATATATATATAAAAACACTTAAGACTAATGTATGACATCTAAACTAAACTATGGAGGAGTAATATAATGCTTGTTAAAAATAGGCTATATCTGAAAATGCCTGTAAATTATTTTAACCTTTTGAAGTCTTGCAATCTGCAGGGCTTTCATATAACTGTTTGATCATATATTTGCCCCTTGTATCTCAAACAAATCACAGCAAGCTGCTAACACAATGCAAATGTTTTCATTCAATGGCTAGTGCCATAAAAGTGATGTAATACAAAAGAATAATAATAATATAATCTCTTAAAACAGGTATTTTATTAGAAAAATATATAAAAGAACATTAAATCTAGTACAGTGCAGCTTAAAATGCAAAGCATTATACACATCACTGTCAGTAAAGAAAAAAAATTCTCAGTCTGACGGTTTTAGCAACAAAAGACAAACATGCAAAATATGCCAAGCCTACAACTTAACATTACCTAAGCCTGAAATGAGAACATGCAGGAGTTGACAATCAGCAATCACTGCTATTCATGTAATCACATGGAAAAACCAGAGCACTTATATTCAAGGTTTGTAAACCCCATTTTAGGGCTCCATCAGTGAAAGCTATTTGTCAATAGTGAGCACCAAGTATGCAATCGGCAGAGTGCACCATGCCTTGCTTTCAGTACTAATAAGGCTTTGAACAAATCCCAAAACTTAGCATACTTACTTTTTACATCTCTCTTATACTATTTCTTAATTCTTTCTTTCAGTTAACCAGTTCCACTTTGCCCAGCCACCTAAAACTTACACTCAATTGTTCATACACCTTAAAAAAAAAAAAATACAATAGCAATTATATATGACCTACCCCGTCCCTAAACCTACCCGTCACTGGGGTTAATACCATTTAGGAGTCTTCACCTACCATCCTAGGAAAAAAAAAATATCGCTCCCCCAATGTAGATCTATATTTTGCTCGGACATTTAACGGCATGTACATACACGCAGAATCACTCGGACATTTAACGGCGTAGATATACACGCAGACAGCTCAAAATGTGTATAGAAAACATGCCACTTGACTTGAAAGTGGTGTGTATGTTTACGCAAAAGTCATGATGTCATGTTGTAATATTTTTTAGATGACTAAAAGCTGAATATATTTCATATTTGTATACCCAAAAACACTTTCTTGATTTTCTTAGATTTGGTGTCTTGTGGCAGACTGGAGTCATCATTTTTCTTTTTATTCAATTCAAAAAGATTTTTTTTTTTGACAAAGATGTTCAGGGATGCAATTATTATTGAAATTTTACCATATTTGACATGCTTATGAAAAATGTCAAGGTAAGTTTTGAAAGTCTCCAGCAAAAAACTAATTTAAAACTTCCAAAAAGATTTTTTTTCTTTATTCATTATTCTTATTAACTTAAATGGCTAATGCCAACTGACAAGTGGGCAATTACTTTAGTACTGCAAACTGGTTATTGTCAATTTGGCAGAGTCATTTAGTTTAATTAAAAACTGTCCTGTTATAAAGTTATAAAAAAAAAAGTTTTAGGGAAAGAGTTGTGCGAGATAATAAACATAACTCTACAATTGCAATGACAGCTAACAACATTTTGCCTATCATTTAGCCATTTAGATTTCAGTGGTTTAATTAGTACTGAAGCCTTTGGCTGTTCTATTAAAGTCTTTTGGTTCTTCGTCTTTATTTTTGCGGCCTATGAGTCCCATTTCAAAAACTGTTGCAATCTTTGTCGCTGGTCGAGAAGCTGCCTCTCTTAGTCTTCTGGCATCAAACCGCGGGCTGTACAGGAGAATTGGCAAACGCTGCGCAAATGAAGGAATCTCCTTTGCTGTCTTCTGTTCTGCCTCCATCTTCTTTTGCTCCTCAGTTTTACTGGATTCAATTTGTTGTATTATGTTCTCTTCGGTGGAGAACATTTGGAAGAGGACAGCATCCCACATCTTTGCTGCCCTAGGGGTGTCTTTACTGTCCTGGCTCTCACTAAGCTTAACTTCATCTTCAGACTTATTTTGCATTTCACTTGTATTTTGATCAGCGCTGGCATGGACATCTTTTTTTGAACCAGGCTCTACCTCTGGAAACTTGGGTTCCTCTGCTTCGACCACCATGTGTTTTTTAAGGCGAGACCAGCCACTGAGTTTTGACTTCATGCCTTTCGGTTTTTGCATCACCTTCAAGAGAGGTTCTGCAGATAGGGAAGAGCCTTCACCCTCCTCCTTTTCCACGGTAGGCTTGATCACTTGTTGGGGACTAGCTTTTGTCTCCCCTCTTTCAACCTTTACATGTCCAGTATCCTTTGTTTCAAGGTGCTTTTGGTCTTCTTTTGGTTCAGTCAAAGGCTTAACCACATCTTTAACCTCTCCATTTTCAGAAGAAACAGATGCAAGATTCTGCTTCTTAATTCTCTCTAACAAATTTATTTTTGCCTCAGTGGGCTTCTCTTGCACTTTGGTTGTTTCAGCATTAACTTTACCTTTCGACAGCTTTGGAAGTGCTGGCTTTCTCGTGTCTAGGTCACGCAATTTCACAGCCTTACTTTCAGGTTTCGGAGTTTCCTGCAGAGTTGGAGGGGTTGGTGTCATTTGGGAAAGTCTGGGAGATCCATAGGTTGGAGTTCTGACTCTTGGCATCACAGTACTTATAGCCTCTGCTTTTACTTTTGATGGTGGTGTGTCAGCTACAGACACCACAATAGTTGGAATTTTAACATCAGGAATTTTTGGCAAATGTTGCTTGGGAACATCCTCTACAGAGTTGGATTCTAGTTTAGATGCTGCCTTTGGAAATTCTGGAGGTGGAGCTACCACAGTGGTTTCATCTTTAACAACAACAGTCTGAAGTGGCTGGACTGTACCTCGCTCTTTAGGCTTTACTTCAGACTTGTCATTTGTTATGGTCACAGTTTCATCAGGTTGAGGTACTACTGGTTCCTGTTTTGGAAGATGAGTTTCCTCTACACTTGGTAGTAAAGTTGGTGTAGAAATGCTAAAACTGGGCGAGTAACTCTTTATTCCTCCATGGGCAACATATTCAGCGGGAGTCAATCCATAGTATGTTGGTTGGGATTTAGGTGTTGTTGGTGTTTTGGGTCTTTGACCTGCAAATGGAGGGACTCTAAATAATGGTCTTTGATACCCAACTGAAGACGAACCAGGCTGTGCGGGTTCAACATTGGCTGCTGTTGGGGTTTCAGGCTTTGGATGTTGATTTGCATCAAGTTTTGCGCTTTCCTCTATTTGAGTCTTTGGCTTTGGTGACTCGACTTTTGATAGGTTTTCTGAAGTGGCCATATCTAGTTTTTCTTTTAAGAGTTCAGTTGATTTGACATCTAAGTCCCCATTTTGAAATATTCCTGAATGATCTGTGTTATTTAACTGATTTGAAATTTGATGAATTTCATTATGTGGACCAGCCAAGCTTGAAGTTGGCGTTTTGGATCTTCTGCCCTCCATGTGCACAGGAGAAACAGCAAATAAAAGTGGATTTGGTCTTGAAATCTCAATCACAGGTACTCTAACACGTGAAACATTACCCGAGGGTGTCTTGGGTCGCCCTGAATATGTTTTTGTTGAGGTTAAGTCATATGTTGGTGTTTTTACTCTGGTTGGTATTCCAACTCCCTTTATCTCGAGTGTTGGAGTTGTACCTTGTTTTGTCTCGAGTGTCGGTGCTGCACTTTGTTTAATCTCTGAGGCAGGAGTATTGACCCTCTTCATTTCAGAAGAGGGAATTGTCTCTTTCTTAGCAGGAGTACTGAACCTCTTCATTTCAGAAGATGGAATTGTCTCTTTCTTGATTTCAGAAGTTGGAATATGGGTTTTCCTAATTTCTAAAGTTGGGGTAATCCTCTTGATTTCAAGCGTTGGTGTTGCAACTCTTCTGATCTCTCTAGTCGGCGTTCTGTCTCTTATTTCCGCTGTTGGTGTCACTATCCTTCTAACCTCAAATGTTGGTGTTGGGCCTCTCATTAACTCTGCAGTAGGTGTTTTACTCCTTGTTGGTGATGTATAAGGTGTTATCAAACCTGCTGACTTTGCCGTATAATTGGTGATCTGAGGAACTTCAAACAAAGGTTTTGTTGTTCTAGAAACCTTCATAACAGTTGGCTGAGGGCTTGGAGTTTTAGAGGTAATTACATGGGTGGTAAGAGTTGAGCTCACTTCCGCTCTTTGTGCAGTATGCAGAATAGTGATTGGAGCCGTAGCATGTGTGTCAAGTCCTGGTTTTGGTGAGGCTGGGTATGAAAATGCTGGAGCTAGGAGTTGGGGAGTGTTGTGGCCCAGAGCCACATTTGGTTGTGGTGAAAACCTTGTTGTCTTTCCAAATGTGAATTCTCTGTGATGAGGATAAGGGGACGCAACATGCTGATACAGTGGTCGGACGTTAAAGCGCGGATGTACCGTGCCAATATAGAAAGGTGCCTCTGGAGTTTTAGGAGGAGTTGAGTGATCACTGTGCTCCAGGTCAGGGCTTGCTTCATTTACTGGAGAGAGGCTTGAGCGGAAGGGGGCCGATGGTTGTAAGGCCTGGACAGCTGCTTTTTTCTTGGCTGTCTTCTTGAGTAGTTTCTGGAGCCGGACATTTTCTTTCCCAGGTTTGGGAGGCAAAGGTGGTGGGTACTGCTGGGATAGCAGGCCAGCCTGGGCAGTATTGGTGATATTGCCAGCCATAAAATCGTCAACCCCCTGAAACAAATAATAGATATTGTGTACTTTGAACATGACAATAATGATTGTTTTTGCTAATAATGGTAACAAAGTGCAAACCATTCCAAAAATAGACCATTAAAAAATAAATCAGCAAAAAAAGCTTTGTTGTTCACTAATACTGTTGTTTTCTTTTTCTTTCAGATGAATTATCCAGCGATGATTTGTGAGGAATTTAATTCAGCAATAGCATCTTTCCAGATTCACCATGAACATATACATTAACACACACACACACAGCCTAATATATATATATATATATATATATTCAGGGTAGGTTATTGATTATTGGTTTTAAATCAAATTTCGATTTGATTGTCATTCATGGTTATGAATTACTTTTTTTCAGTTAAATAGGTCTAGAAGAAAAAGAGAGATTCAGAAAGCAGCTATTGGGTTTTTGTTTTTTGATTAATGAAACATATGGCAACAGTTTATTACGTTGCTGTCCCTCAAAGAACAAATGCACTGATCTACTATATTGTTACACATCCGATTTGCTTCCAACTGTCTATGTTCATCTAGGACATAACAGATTGTGTTTATATGAATACTCCACACAATGTGCATTTTGACATAATTGTGTGTGTATGTGACCATCGGAGCGCAATAGGCTGTGAAAGAGAACTGATTGAGATCGTAAGCATCTGAGTGCCGCATGCGAGTCCATTTTCGCGGCTTATTGTAATTAATAACACTAATATGTCAATAGCTTTAAGTACAGCAAAGTTTAAGTAATGTACCACACTAGAATATGGATTTTTTAAATTTGTGAATCGATGCAAATCGGCAGAAGATAGAATTGCGAGTCATATGTGAATCAAATCCCACCCCCACCCAAATAAGGAAGAAACAATTGCAATGTATGTATACAATGTATGTGCTTATCTGTCTTTGATTTTAGATGATTGCTTATTTTTTTAAAGTTCTAATGTCAAGGCTTTGGATTGTTTTCTTAAAATCTATTTGTCATACGATGTAAAGCAAAAAAAAAAAAAAATTATTCTCTTATTAAATTTTTTTTTCCTCAGTATTTTTCTGCAGTATTTGTGCTGATATTATGTCCACTTTTAACAATGTATGAGTGTGAACTGAATGTGAACGTCAAACAGATAGATACAATTTTTGTCAACTACGTTTTTATATTGATTTTATATGCTATTTTTATACTCTGACACATTGTTACATTTATATAGTATATTAATAGTAGAATAATCCAAAAACTTTCCAAATTCCGGCAGCTGATTTGTATGCCTTATAAGTCATTAGCAATCTTTGTGTTATATTTCATTACAAATATGACATTGATTTTCTTACCTCTCTGCTATTGTTCATCGTTTTGCATTACATAATTGACTACACTCTTTGGTTTTCAAGAAAACACTGGAATTAGTCCATTTATCAGATTTATAATATTAATATAATCCTGTTTGTTTAGTTATGAACTTTTTTCTACCCAATGGTGTCATGGTTAAAAAAAGAATGTGATTTATAGTCCATTAACGTTTTTATTTTCAATAAACTTGATATTTTGTATGATTCTTAATTTTGAGTTTGTAGGACTCAAGTTTATGACACATTCACATGCAGTAAACTTCCATCACAAATCTAGGATGGCTCCTTGGCCTAATTTTAGGGTGAACGCAAATGAGCAAGTAATCTGCTCTGTCACAGAGTGTGGTGCCACTCTCCACCCTCCATGTAAACCAATGCCAAGGGGGCAGCCACTGCTTTAGCCATGGGGGGAACAGCTACATTAAATTACATAATAAATCACTGGAAATGTACTACCAATCAGTTTCAGTGGTGTCTATTGACGCACAACCTAAGATCATACATCAAAGAGCTGCTTTTATCCACTTTCATACAGTATTGATTATGACTGGAGTATTAAAAATATATATATTCATATTCATAACTAATCTTTTGCAACAGTTCAAATGTAGGCCATCTGTAAGAGCTTGTAAAAGAAGTCTCCAGCCCAGAGAGACACACATAAGAGGAGGTCATCCTTTTAAGGGCCTGGTAGGCTGGGCAGTTTGGAGAATTTCCAAGATGCAAGTTCAAAAGAGGAAAGGGCGAGAATAGCAAAGCAGTAAAATCATGCACTGCCTAATTGCTTCTTAGCAAATATAAATAAATAAAAGCATACATGTAAAGAGTGCATGTGTGTGCTTAAAAAAAACTCACCAAGAGATGACTGAAAGACAGTTGAAGACACTTCAGACAAGGTCCCCTGTAGATATAAACATGCATGAATTATGCAACTGTATTTTAATGAAAAGGACATATATTAATGAGACATAAAATATGGTTGCATTGAAACAAATATCTCATTTTAATGGGAGTACACTCCCTGATGCGTAAAGTTAGTCTGCTACAACTGTTAATGCCTTTTCCCAAAGGACAGACATGGCATGCACTTCCACACTAGGTATTCATATAATAATAACCAGAAATCAAATTTCAAGCGTTTTTTCTGTGGTTTTAATACCTGTGTGTCTGCTGTTCAGGGGTGTACGGCGGCTGCCTGCTTGTCCCAGCTTGGACTGTCAGAACGGGAGACTCATGTTGAGTTCAACTATTCCCCCTTCCTTCAAATGGAAGGCACAGGCTCCATAGCAGTCCAAAAATAAAACCCAGCGCCCGTTACTCAGAATGCACACTGACTGGTGACGGTGTAGAGGGACCCGTCAGCGAAGCAGGGGGGATCCAGGTCACCTTAGATTTTACCAAGTGCCCCCCTCCCCCATAACACCAGATGCACACCCTCATTTACACATCTATAAGCACAGCACCCCCTACAGTAAAGAAGAAGCAGATGTTTCCTTTAAAGGGCTATTACAGGTCAATTCTTTTAAGTCAACATGAAATTGGAGGAATAGCAAACTACAATAATTCAATGATCCAATCAGTTCAAGACCCCTGTGAATTGTCATTTGCAAGACATTTCACTTTGTTCATATATATGAAACCGAATTTTTCAATTTCATATTGATTGGCAAAGGTTGTAGTGTAAACAAGCACCAAGTGTGATTGAACTTTTAAAGTTGAACTTTTCTTCAACTTAAGTTGAAACTTAATCCCGAAAACACACCAAATATATACAGAAGCCTCTGGCAAGGAGTAAGGCTTGAAATCAAACGCCAGACTGATTTGATTACACCAATGTGTTACATGACAGACGTCAATCCTTCTGACATAAATGATGAAGTTGACATTTACACTTGTTTACAAAATAAGAGAACATTTTGTGACTGGCTTGTTAGCATGTCTCCAACATGAAACTCATCTAAATAGTGCATTTCAGAATGTAACTAACTGGCGAAATTCACAAATCCTCTGTATGCAGAGTGGTGTGAGCGGTTTCATATTTAAATTAGTGCTGTCAATCAAATTAAATCATACAATCTTCTGTAATTATTAATTGCAAATAATCGCACCAAGTTAATATATTTTACTTTGTAATACTTTCACATTAAATCTCCCAAATAACACCGAAACAACATCGAGTGTGTTTAAAATATTTGTTTAATTGTATATTTTTACTGAGAACTATTAATAAAATTCTTAGTAAAAATATATGTATGACAAAAATAAAATATGACACTGATGTCCCCATTAAACAGTGTGAAATTTTAACTTTTTATAGGCTTTAAAACTTTTAATTTAAGTGAACTTTTTTTCTACTGCTCCAGTCGGGCCGGTTCAGATTTTTACCTGACCTGCTAATATGCAAAAAACGATCATGTGTGTATGCGTGTGTTTTGTCAAATTTAAATAAAATAAATAAATAAAATTTGCTAAATTAAGATATAAACCTTGACAGCACTGATTTAAATATACTATTTACTTATTATAATTAATGATTATGTATTCACTTGCTTATAGCATTAGTGACCTCTAGACATTTATAATGAAAAGGATTAAGGTGTTTGTAACATATGTGGACTTGGGAGCGAGCTCTGGGGCACACCCCAAAACCTTATCCGACGCATTATCTATTATGTTGAAAATAACACCAAAAGCTAAGTTCAACCCACTCACGTTCGGCCTTTTCAGAAAATGTGATAATTGTGCTTGCGTAGTACCACAGCAAATATAGCAACAGTGTCTGGACTCACTCCTCCAAACTTACACCTCTGTTACATTTACTCAAACTCTCATTCATCTCCTTATTCAGCGCATGGGCCAAGATCTGGACCTTCCCTTTTTAACCCTTCCCACTACAGAATCTCCACCAATGGGAGATTTCCACAGATCAGGTGTCACTATAACAGAAATGCATGTTTGCTGAACTTTACAGCCAGTCTTCGCCAGCAGGGAGCTCACTTCTTTCAGCTTTTCTGAGGTAAGGGTGAAGGAGGGGATGAGTGCAGAGTGTGAGGAAATTGTGAAATCAGGACAGTTTGTGTGTAGTTGTGAGTCAGTTTAGACTAATTTGTGATAACGCATCAGGTTTTACACAAACTTGCGGAAATCATAAATCAATTTAGTTAAAATATCATTCATGGAGTCTTAATTTTAAAAAAGTATATATACATAATTAAAGCTGTGTAGCTTTAAAATGACGTTTACAGTTACATCTCATTTATTTTGAGATGTCTGAATAACAATCTATTTAATATATATGATCATAACATTCTATGTCCAAATATAGAAGAAAAAAAAATCTTAAGATGGAACTTGGAAACTAGATCCTGAACAATGTTTGGGCCTATTAAGTGCAGCTGTCTTGTCAAATTCAGTTTGCCCCGAGATGCTTTTAGGTATTGCTCACATCCATTCCCTGATTGTTATTCAGAAGTTAACAACTGATTGATATGTATTTTTAAATTAATCAAACCCAGTAATTTTTATTTAAGATTTTGTACTATTTTGTATTGATTTGTTACAAAATCTGAGTCCTGCACTATATATAAAAATATTTGTTCCGAAATTGGGAATCAATACAAATAATCTGCATTTAACACAATATTCTCAAAGATCTGTTTTTCTACTGCTTGTTTGTATACACAATAATATGTTCTGAAGGTAAATGCCTTACTATTGTGCTTTTCCCGTCCAAGCATATATCAGGCAAAGTGGAAACAAACTTGTACATGTAAAAGCATGGATAAGGGCATTTATGATTGATCAAGTGTCAGCCAGTTCACAGGTCAGCTAATAATAAAATTTGGTCAACACTTAGCTAAATGACTTTGCTATGTTTTTCACTTGTCTGTTTCTCTTAAGATGTGCAGACTACTATAAACAAAAATGTAATTGTTGCCTTTTAATTTAAACTGGAAGAGTATTTGAATCCTACATTCCTGGTCCTCACTGAAACTATTGACGATTATTTCATTTGGCAAAATGCCACAAGTATTCTCATATAAAGAGACTTTGAATAATTGCAGTCTTCCCTTGAAGTTCTGATTTGTGCGTCATTATTTCATTTTCGTTTAGTCTCAAAGTCCACTATCAACATGTCAGACACAGAGGAGGTGTAAGTATCATGTTTCTATGCATATTGAACTGGATTTATATGAGATGCACTAAAGGGCCATAATCAGGCTTCTGTTTTTTATTTTGTTTTTTACAGCGAGCATTTCGAGGGTGAGTACAATTTTTCAACGTTTTCTTGTAGAATTTTGTTGCCAAAGCATTTTTAAAAACAATTATAAACGATGCAATGTATCCGTTCACCATTTCTCCCAATAATCGTTCTTGTTAGAACATGGTGAAAGTAGGCAATCACAATGGGACATGTGTAATAACTGTGCAATGTGTGATACTGCTGCACTGGTCATAAAATAATTAAAAAATTTGAAATACATTTATCTAGAACATCTTGGTCTGCTGGTAGAGTTTTTATTTTTACATTGTATTTGATTTTATTACACAATAAGGCAAATCATACAGTATGTTATTTGTCTGTGCACTGTATCTGTAGTGTATACATTGCACAATGTGGACTGGAAACATGCCCCCTCATTACCATACAGACATAAAAAAGTAAATAACTAAATGTGGAAATAGATTCATTTAAAATATATACATATATTTAGAAATAAATGTAAAAATAAATAAAATAATACATAAGGACTTTTATTTTGACTAATGTTGGTAGATTCGGTCCCCCACAGTATTATAGTTAATAACAATAATATTAATAATATCTATCATGTTCTTGTTTTCTGTTCTTGTTTAATGCTTGCGGTCACTGAAGGGGAAGGTATGTTGAATACAGATGTATCCCAGTGCTGAAGGGACTTGTTACTGTTGTCTGTTGTCTCCTCCTAGTGGACAACATCTATAACGTTGTGGAAAATAACCTATTCACATAGTGGACAAGATTTATGATGCTGTGGGAAATAACCTATTCACACTATGTAATGAAATAAGGGGAAAGAATATTAAATGATAACTACCATGCAGTGACGCGCTGTTTGAGTTCTGCATGGCTTGTACTTAAAACTGACCAACTCATTTTAAGGAGCAGAGCTGCCGTTTCAGAAGAAGAAGCCTCTTGAATTGGACACATTTAGCTCTAAATATTTTAATAATTTGATATTTAAAAAATAAGGAAAAGTAATATTATATTTTAATTTAAAATCACATTTTTACAAAATTATTTAAATCTTTAATAATATTTAAATTTATAACAAGTCACAATTTTTTTTAATAATTATGAGCATCTGAGTATAATGGCTGTGCTTGGATGTTTGTTCTAAAATCAATGTAGATATTTAATCACTTTAATATTTTAATAACTAATCATTTAAAATGATTTAAAACGTTTGCTGTGTACCGTTAACTGCATTGCCCTGAGGGGATTTCACAATAACACGTCTCCTCTTCACTCTTCACCTCTTTACATACAGATGAGAAGCCAAAGTTCAAGTAAGTATTAGAAACTAGCCTATATTTGCACATTACTGCACATAATTTAAATAATTTAATCTACGATATAATGCTCATTTTATTTCTTTGACTCCAGGCCATCAGCACCCAAGATCCCAGATGGTGAGAAAGTGGACTTTGATGTAAGATTTTGTTTTCTTTGGTGCGCTTTAAAATGGCCATGTATTTGTTAGTGAGATAACCACATTGTTTCTTGTGTGTCTGAACACAGGACATTCAGAAGAAACGTCAGAACAAGGATACGCTTGAGCTGCAGAGCCTCATCGATGCTCACTTTGAGCACAGGAAAAAGGAGGAGGAGGAACTCATCGCCCTCAAGTCGAGAATTGTGAGTGAACATAAACCGAGAAGTAAAACAGTCAAAAAATCGTTGGCATAGCTTGATCTTCTTCAGAAAGTTGAAAATGAACATGTTTTCTGTCGTCAAACAGGAGAAGCGCAGAGCTGAGAGAGCAGAGCAGCAGAGGATTCGAGCTGAGAAGGATAAGGAACGCCAGGCGAGACGCGAGGTGTGTAACACTAGCGGTTTCCATCCAAATTTGCGAATTTAATTTATGCGTGAAATTGGAAAATCATATAAAATATTCGCCACGTTTCCATCCAGTGAGCTTAAAAAAAAAAAAAGACGATTCCTGATTAACTGCCGCAAAATATCAGAAAGGTATAAAAAAAAGTGGAAGTTGTTGCTGTAGGACAAACCACATAATATAATAATTATTGTATATAATAAATTACTTGTGCCTCATAATAACAGACATTTTCAGGCATTTCAGAACGACCAAAATGAGATCGGTCCGCTGGTTGGTCCCAAGTCACGTCTTTTTTGATGCGCATCTTAGTATTAATTCGGTAAAAGTGTTTCCATTGTAGTTTATGGGCATGTTTTCTTATTTAGATTCAATTAAGCGCAATTTTTTTATGCACATTTTTAGAATTTCCATGCAGGTGGATGGAAACATACTGACCTTGCAAGGCTAGAAAGTGTCCACCTTCTAGCAACAGCATCGACATTAGTGGTCGACCGATACATCACCAAGGCTAATATATCGGCTGGTATTTGGCTTTTTTTTTTATTATCAGCAACACTCAAAAAGGTTTTGGAAGTGGGACTTTTATTTTGATATATTTGATAATGCCAGGCAAGAGCACATAGAGCTCCCAACATGACATCATGACTTTTGCGTAAACATACACGCCACTTTCGAGTCAAGTGGCGTGTTCTCTACGCATTTTGAGCCATCCGCATGTATGCGTGTTGGTCTACGCCATTAACGTCCGAGTGATTCCGCGTGTCTGTACATGCCGTCAAATGTCCGCGCGAAACAAAGCAAAATGTAGATCTACATCTGGGGAGCAATCTTTTTTTTTCCTAGGATGGTAAGGGAACAGTCATAAATGTCATTAACCCCAGTGACGGTTAGGTTTAGGGACGGGGTTGAGGGAAGTCATATACTTATATATACAGTAATAACGTTAAGTCAACGGCGTTCATAAACACGCTGAAAAGCGATTATGCGTCTTGATAGCACGCCATAAATGGAAATACGAATTGGCGTGTCATACACACGCTACTTCATGAGATCAGTCTGCAGCTTTACTCACATGTGACTAGGGTTGGGTATAGTTTGAATTTGAACGATTCTGATTCCGATTTCGATTCCTTGTTTCGATTCCGGTTCCTAAAGATTCTCGATTCCGATTCTTTTAAGAGGCAGGGTCAAAAAAGTTTAGCTAACCTTGGTAACCAACGGTCTTTCTGAAGGAAATGCTCCTTCTGTCACAAATACTCCTTTTGTCACAAATTTTGCATTTCGCCGAGATTTCGTTATTTTTAGAAAAGTGAAGCCACACTTTGGACCGCCGACGTAAGCTACTCATGTTCGACTCGCCATCACTTCCGGTAGACGCTTCTTCGTTGGTGTTGTTCAGCGGTTTCTTCTTCCGGTCGGCGGACTGTGAATATCGAAACTAGGAATCGAAATTTTCACTTTTGAACGGTTCCGGGAAAAACGAAAAGTTAGTCACGATTCTCGATACCCAACCCTACATGTGACTTACATAAACACATTTTGTTACGAATTGAAAAGCGATCTGAACCCTGTTTCAGAAAAACGCAAACAGCTCTGAAAATGCCCCAAGATATCGGCACCAGCCTTAAAAAACAAAACAATAATGGGTCGACCGCTAACTGACAGTGTTTCCTGGTGTTTCCCACAGGAGGAGAGGCTGAAAAGAGAGGAGGCAGATGCTAAGAAGAAAGCAGAGGAAGACGCCAAGAAGAAGTCAGCTCTTTCCAACATGGGCAGCAACTACAGCAGCTACCTGCAGAAGGTAACTGTTTAAAACAGTGCAAATGAACGGAGGAGAATGAACTAAAACAACACTGAACCCCTAGGCTCTGTTGTCCTTTAGGCTGACTCCAAGAAAGGTGGCAAAAAACAGACAGAGAGAGAGAAGAAGAAAAAGATCCTGGCTGACAGACGCAAGCCACTCAACGTCGACCATCTCAACGAGGACAAACTGAAGTGAGTTACACTCGAATTATAAACTGTTAAAGGGAGGCAATGTAAACTTTCTTACATTTTCTTACTTGTGTCCCGGACTTCAGAGATAAAGCACAGGAGCTGTTTGAATGGATAAAGACCCTGGAATCTGAGAAGTTTGAACACACAGAGAGGTTGAAGAGACAGAAGTATGAGGTGAGAAAACAAACAGCCAAAGAGACAAGAGGACAGGAAACATTCATGAACCTGTACATCTAATTGTCATCAGCAGTACGTTTTCCCTTGAGGTAAATTTTGATATCACTGATAAAGCTCTGATCTTCTACAGATTACTACACTGCGCAAGAGAGTGGAGGAGCTTGGCAAATTGTAAGTTGAATGTTTCTTGAATGTTATGGCGCCCCCTGCTGTGCATGGCCTGTGTGTGACTGCTTCAGTGCATTGACTGATCTTCTGTGATGCTGAAAACAAAGTGAACCTAGGGTACGTTTTCAGGACAAACGGAAAAGTTTTCCTTTGCATTTTCCGTGTACAGGCGACAACGTTGTCAAAACAATCCCAATTCACACGGATCCGCGGAAACTATCAAAATCGCTGTATTATTCATGCCTGGCCAGTAATTAGCAGTCACTTTGTAAAGAAAAAGTACCCTGAACGCCCCAAAAGTTATCTTTTTTTTTTTTTGGGAAAATGGTGTTGTGTAAAAGGCCCCTTAACTAGCAAGAACACTGCACTCGCTTTCTGAGAACAGCAACATCTTAATCTGCAGATTTATAGATACAAGGAGACATTTGTAATACATTTTGCTTCAATTATTATCAATATGCAGAAATTGAAAATCAGCATTCGTTCATTATGTCTCTCTATTTTCCACCAAGCTGCCTTCGCATGTAAAGCTATCCATAAAATACATACATAACTAAGCTATGAAATGCCATTACATGCTTAATATCACAGACAACATTATTACTTCTTATTGTAAAAACTACATAATTTTTTTTCCCATTTTATAATAAAAAAATATTATAATTAATCACTTCAAATCCCCCTGTGGTGAAAATCACGTTAAGTGAATAAACAATCCCTAATGAAAAAAATTATACTTTATTGTATTTGAAATAATATTCCATTTCGCAATAGCACATGAATTTATGCGTTTAGAACTAAAACACCCTTTTCTCTTGTATTTTTTTTCACCATCAGTCTAGCTAAGGCGAAAAAATTGCAAGAATTTATATTAGGCTAAAATCTGTATTATTTGACGTTTATGTGAAACCTCAAAAGATCAGGGTAGCCTAGACGATAGATACTCACCAATAACAGATTACAAGATGACTCTGTTGTCTTCTGAACTATTCTGAGATGTGAAAAAAAGTCTGCAGTCTTTTTCTTCATATTTAATAGCTCTCCAATATGATCATTGTTGATGAAGAGGCACATTTACAACATTAATTAAGGGATACAATTATAACTACAGGGGGACATAGGTCTAAGGGACAAGACAGAGGAGGTTTACGAGAAAGTAAAAGTAAAGATACAACAAATTATAATAATAAAAATTAAAAAAAAGAATAATAGACAGATATATAATAAATATTAATAATACTTGGAAATAAATGTAAACTAAGTAAAAAGGACAGTAGGGAATATGGATTTACACATTGCTCCAGGACTGAGCAGACTAGTTTGAACTAGTTTTGTTGATTCATTCATTTACAAATTGACAAATAAATTTTTGATTGATGCTGCCAAAAAACATCATTAGGCCAATGATGGGACAGTAGGCCTAAGTGAAGCCTGGGTTGAAAGAGCAGGTGTGTGCTTGCTGTGGTGTGAAATGTAAATTCGAGTGTTGTGGTGTAAAATCGGTCGAGAGTTAAATCAAATCACAATTTTAATCACATGTTTTGACAAATCTTGACATTGCAGCAGCAAGAAGGGTGCCGGCGCTCGTCGCAGAAAGTAAGTGCGTCGTCCTGCAGACCAAGACCTCCACAATGATGATGGACAAGATCCACCCCCACTCTGTGCTGACTGCACAGGACTAGTTGTTGATCAACCCACTCTTCATCGTCTTGGACTGTAGTTTAATTCCTTTATATGTCATGTAAATAAAGTGTGACTTAAGGCCTTAGTACTACTTGTTCTTATTGAAACATCAATAAAATCGTTGTTTTTGGAGGTTGTCATCCAAGACCATTTTTTCTAATTCCACGAGTGCAGCAAAAATTCTGTCGCGTGAAATTCGCGCGTTTTATTGCACACGGATACAAATTAAAAAGCACGGTTTCTAAATAATGTTACACTGTCTCGTATGTGACAAGTAAGTGATTAAACTGGAGATTCTTACCTTGTCTGTGCAAATATACTCAATGTTCAACTCCTGTAACAGTGCCACGACACCGATGCAGCAGGTAAAATGTGACTGACAGGCGGAAGGATACAGTAACTTGTCATCCAAATGTTCCTCCGCCTTCGACAGTAGAGTAGGCTAGTCCAAACAAAATAAAAGTTTCCAGCATTCAAAATATCTTTTAGTTTTTAGTTTGTTTTTAGGCTACACGCTGAGGTACGAGTTCTACGAGTCGAAATTATAGACCTTATGCACCAGAGAAATGTGGGCGCCGTCATCTTTAGAATATTGTCTTGGAACTTCCGGTTTTGCGGTCACCCTGTATATTTCTATGGCATCACTGTCGAGGAGTAATTAGCTGGTGAAGCGGATTTACTTATTGTAGAGTTAACAAAAGTTATCACGAGCATTGTAATGTTTATCATAAGCATTGTAAAGCAGATGTCTAAACAAATGTCAACCGGGATTTTTTTACGAGCTGTTCATTCAAGATCGCTGTGAAAATACAGACCGGAAGTCAAAAAAGACAACGAGCGCAACGCTGAAAAGGGGCGGGGCTACATAAGGTCTATATTGTCGTAATCGACGGTCCCAGATCCTGTCTATAAAATTTTAAATTTGAAGTCTAAAAAGAATTTAAAATTGATTAAATTATTTTGATGAGAAAGGCGGCAAAAATGACGTATTTGCTCATAAAGTTTTACAGTGACACAGTAATGCACATGGTGCAAATGTTACATCGTTCAATGCACAAGATGGTGCTGTTGTTATAATATCATGATGTCTATCAAGCATAAACCCTATTTTTCTTTTGTATTCATTTTTACGCCGTATATGCATAGGATATCTCTGAGTTATTAAAAAAATATGTTATTAAAAAGCAGGCTAAAGTTTTACATTTTTTTATTAACATAATCAAACGTTTTCGTATTACATAGCCTCATTGTTGCTAAACAATCATACATCTGCACGCTATTCATATTACATCAACTGAATAAAATGACTGGTTTATTATGGATGGTGAAGTGTTATCGAAATTCTTAATGTGAAACGAAAACGTCGTATCCCTTAACAGGCTGTTCCCTCAATTGTCATCAAGCAGGGTAGTCTAAATGATTCCCTCTAACTTTTATGTTTAGCGTAACGCTTAGCGTATTTGATTTGGAAAACACTAAATTAAGATTCGATAAAAAACATTCTTAGCCTATAGGCTAGCAGGGTTCTCTGTAACGGCATGGACAAAATATGAACAAAAAAAACATTTTTTTTCCCCCATCACGCTAAATCCTTTTTGTTTTTCAATGGTGCCATTTCAATCTCATGGAATAAATCACAAAATCCCAACAAATATTTGAGTATAAATTAGTTATAGGCTTTTTTTTATTAATCCGACATTCACTCATTTAAGAAGTATAAATATAAAGTTTAACACAAGACACAACAAACTAGTGTTTCAAACAGGCATCATCATTAAATACAATAATATGTTTGTTCGTTTTCGTCGCTTTAACAAAACAGATCTTATTTACACATATACAAAAGTGGTCCTACTATCCGTATCTGGATTACGATTCTCTCGTGAATAATTAGGAAATCAAAGGTGATGGCGACATAAAATATATCACAAAGGGGGAGAAAAAAATATGGTCACATTTTCACATGGATAAAATAATATAAATAAGCGTTAAGAAACTCACTTGCTGATCCGAGCCATTTTCATAAAGGAATTAGATTTTCCACAGCATAAAAAAGAAAGAAAGAAAGAAAGAAAGAAAGAAAGAAAGAAAGAAAGAAAGAAAGAAAGAAAGAAAGAAAGAAAGAAAGAAAGAAAGAAAGAAAGAAAGAAAGAAAGAAAGAAAGAAAGAAAGAAAGAAAGAAAGATCATTCGTTCCTAGTTTCCAGCAGTGGATCGAAATAGTCTTTCTTTTGTCGTTAAGATTGGATTTGCATTTTTTGTCTGCTGAATGTTTCTTGATTCAGATTGTCTCTTTCAATTTGCTTTGAAATATCTATTGCGGATCTTTAAAGCACTTGATAGATGGGATCCTGAGCCTGCTGTTGAGGGCAGTTGGCCGGGGACTGCGCAGGGGCCCCGCTCTCACTCAGGACAGACCCCTCCTGCGGAGAACACGGGCTGCCCTCGTTCCCCTCCGGTACCGACAGCACGGGACATGCGGGGGTCTCTGTGGAAATCCGCTCCACGATGCTGGACAGACAATCCAAACTCGACACCACTGAGCTTTTATTATTCCGTGCGTCAGCTACAAAACAAAACAGATTTTAACTTTAACTCAAATATTTTATTTAACTTGAACAAAAATGTTATTTTTTTTAAATGATTTTAATTAAGACTAGGCCTATTTTTTTCTGGAAATATTTCGACATGACCTACCATTTGGCGTGTCGTTGAAGTAAGAGCTGTCATAACTGTGCCGTCTTCTCGACTGACATGTAGGGCCCATGAAATCCATCTAAACACGAAAAGAAAATTAATTACAATGAAGACAGTTAATTAACAAGTAGTAGGTATAGGCTACAATAAACAAATAATTTACTTAGGCCTAATTAATAATGTTTCATTCATAGCGATATCTTTTTTGGCTGTTGAATGAAAGAAATGTCACATGTTTCCAAATACTAATGAAATAAAAACAATATAGCTAAAACGCTGGGTTGTTGCAACGGTAAAAAAATGGACAAAACGAGTTCGTTGGTTTCCATTTTTAAACGGTTGGGTTTGTCCATATTTGACAATTGAAACAACTTAGGCTACGTAAAGAATAAACCATTAATAAAATGGCCAATATAATAAAATGTAATAGGTAAAAAAACCATATAAATAGCTACTATTATAAAACCACTACATATAAATAGACTCCTTCTCACCATGCCATCGGAGCAGTTGGATCTCGGGCTGGAGGCATCCGAGTCCCCACTGTAATGTTCCAGAACGGGGTAGTAGTTTTCCTCTTGACCCCTAAGCAGCGCCTGCAGAGACTCGATGTAACTAATGGCGTTTCTCAGAATCTCCACTTTGGGCAGCCTCTGGTTTGGGTTGGTGGACGTGCATCTCTTGAGGGTCTCGAAAGCATCGTTGACTTTGCTCAGTCGTCTCCTCTCCCTCATGGTGGCGGCTTTGCGGCGGTCAGCATTGGTTGTTTTCCTCTTGCAGGCTTTGCATGCCCACAGCAAGCACCTGCCGGCTTGGTGATGCCCACTGGGTGCTCTCACGTGCTCGTCCTCGATGTGGTGATGCTCGTCGGGCTTGAGCAGGCCCACGTGAACGAGCCTGGGGTCCAGGTCTTCAAAGAAGTGCATGTCGTTGGTATTGAAGCAAGGGTCGTCGTAGAAATCATCAGCTGATGAGATGGGGAAGGGAATATCCGACAACTCCATCTTTATGTATTAAGGAACAAAAATGTATAGGCTTATAACTAGGATAGCCTACTTGAATGCTTCCCAAGTAGTAAAGTTTTCAAGGATTTAGGAATATTAAGACAAATTCCTTCAGATCCTGAAACAATGTATTGCCCGAGACAACCGTTTTAAAACCGCAGACCCTCAAAAGCTTTCTATGCTTGTACCCTTCAGGTACTTGATGCTGGTCAGAGATCACGGCCTGCATATATACAGCCCAGCCAGTCTGGGGGCGTGTCTTGCAGATGACTGTTTGCCCAATGAGTATGTGCGCTGAGAAAGAGGGCGTGGTTTTGACGGCCTGCCACTGCAGCTAATGACGGTGTCATAAAACTGTTAAAATTACAAATTCATTTATAAATAACGACATAAGTTGCTCTTACTGCTTTTGTTGCGTGAATATTTGGACTGAAATGTGTATTTATTTGTCATCAAATTAAAGATTTAAGCCTTTCAGCCGTTTTTCAACACTTTTACAATGTTCAGAATTTTCTCAGGAAAGAAAATCGAGGAAGGACTTTCCTTTATATTTTCTAAGGAGATCTTTTCACTATCATTTGTTTCTAATTAATAAGTTAATAACTGTGTTATACTGTATTTGATAAGACGTCAAACAACAGGGATTTCAGTAGGCTAATGTAACAGAAAAAAACGGATCCATGCCTTAATGTTTTTCTTTTTTTCCAAATGTTCCAAAATAAAACACTAAAATGCTAATAATGCCAAATGAACACTAAAATCAATCATTCGTCGGGAATCTCAAACAAACGTGAATAATAAATGATAAAATATATGAAAAATAAAAATGCCATCATTTTAACAATACATAGCCTATAGGCCTATGCATGCGCATGTGAATAACAGTTTAGACTTACATGTAGGCCTATTGAATGTTAGGATGCTTATCAGTAGGTTACTGAAATAAAAACATAGGCTACACTGACTAATGTTTAGGTTGTATTATAGCCTACAAAAAAATCGGTAGGCTTTTTATTATTTTATTTAACCAATTAATTAATTATTTATTAATTTAGACAGAAAATTTTAAGTAGCTATTGCCGTTCAAGGTCTGTTTATGATTTGGCCCATTTTATTTAGCGTTTCTTACAATAGCAGACGGACGCACAACAGTCGTGCAATAGGGGGCGTTAAAGAGCCGGGTGAGAGTTCGAAACTTCAATTCTGTTTCTAAAGTGCAATAATAACTCCATCAGCCTGACAACTATGTGACAAAAAGCACATTGTTTTAGAAAACATTTCTTTTTTTAATGCTATAAAGAAAAAAATACACAATGGCATACGGAATGTGGACATTGTTTATTAAAACCACTGCAGGATCATATGCAAAAGTCAAAACTTAAAATAACCTTTTCATTTGACATAATGTTCACAAATCAAATTCATACGCAAATATAGCACATTTATTTTGAGAAGATACAAATAAATCTCTCACACACTGAGAATAAACAGCCCAAAGCTGTGGTCCATATACTGCATCTAATGTTGTGGTCTGAAGCACTAATACATGAAGAGAAAATAAGTTTAAACTCTTATTTAAACTTCTCATTCTTGTCATTGAAGAATACCTTGATTTTACAGCAATGATATTATAATAATCGTAACACTTTAGATTAATTAGGGGACACATATTCAATATTAAATAGGAGTTTTCCCGCAATAACCCCCTAATTATTGATAGTAATTAAGGAAGTTGTTGTTACGTTTAGGTATTAGGTATATTATGGGATGTACAATAAGGTCATGCAGAATAAGGTAATATGTGCTTTATAAGTACTAATTAACATCCAATATTCAAGTACTATGCATGATAACAAGCAACTACTTAATAGTGAATATGTATTCTCTAATCTTAAGTGCAACCAAAGTTACCTACAATTGAATACGTGTTACATACAAAACTTTTATTGTGAGTGCATCTTTCCCCTTTACGTAATCTGTCTCAGTCTATTGTTCTGTTTAAGTGCTATCTGCTTCCTCAGTGATTGGGAGAGGAAGTCTAGGCCGTAGTCAGGGTCTCTTGTAGCTGGTCGATGAGGTACTCGCCGAAGCCCCCTGTGCTGTCACTGGTGCAGCCCACTCTGCGAGCGCTGGTCAAGAGGTCACCGACGAGCTTGACCTTTGGGACGAGGGGCTCAACGAACTGACTTTTGATCACGCTGGCGGTGTGTGGATCTCCGCACTCACGAGCCAGCTGATTCAACTCCACCATGACGCTCATCTCTTCCTTCCACTGGTCAAGCATGATCTCCAGACCGGGAAGGACGGCGCACACATTTTCAGTGACTGGCCTCTGCGCACAAACATACAATTCGTTTATAAGCCTAATATCATAAAGTTGAAACTTATCACGCGTATAAAAGCTGCTGTGTGTTAAGAATTAGAAGTATTGATGTAAATGTTACATCGATTATAAAATATAAGGTAACAATTTGTTTTAATTTGACATAGTTACACGTTAGTTACTAGTAATAACAGTATGCGGTTAGACTTTATTTGACACTACTTTATTTAGTATTCATTCATTCATGTTAGAATCACTGCAAGGCACATTTGAGCCAATGGCAAATAAATGTGTCCATTATAAAGAAAAAAAAAAACTTTACAAAAAATAATTTTGTTTTAAACCAGTGCCAAGTTCTTAAATATATATGTTTAATACTTAATGTAATTGAAATACTGAAATACTTTCAAAGTAAAAGGTTATTTTTAGAGGTGAGATTTTAGATTTTTTTTTTACAAATTATTTATTATATAATAATAAGAAATTTAAATGTTTTGTGAAATGATCTGCAAAAACGACTAAAAACGAGGTATTATTCATGCCAGACCAGTAGATGGCGATGTCACTTTATAAAGAAACATTACACGACTGAACAAGTTTTTTACAAAGTCTTGTTTTTGTACTTTACGAAACGGTATAATTTTCAAAAACTTGCACTTTGATAACCGTCTTCAAAGTTTTGCGTTTTCAGGGCCCCCAAAATGCCATTGTCGTAAAAAATGAATGCTAAAACATAGAAAAGGTAGTTGAAAATGGTTTTGTGTAAACGGCCCCTACTACTTTTATTCAGCAAGGCTGCATTAAATGGACCAAAAGTGACAGAAAAGACATCCGCTGTTCTTTTAAAACTTGCAATTCTAAAAAAATAAAAAATAATCACAGTTTCCACAAAAAAAGTAGGCACCACAACTGTTTTATGTTATAGGAGATGTGTGTTTTGTATGTTTCAATGTTTTCACTAGTTTATGTTTTCACGTTTGATTTTCAGTTCTTTAGTTGCTCATTGTTTGATTATCGTTTGCACCTGACTTTCATTTGTTTCTCAGCATATTTAAGTCTTAGATGTAGCCCTTTATTTTGTGTTATCAACCAACGCGTGACTTTTTTTTAAGATTGATAAAAATAAGAAATCCTTCTTGAGCAGCAAATCATCATATTAGAGTGATTTCTGAAGTATCATGTGACACTAAAGACTGGAATAATGATGCTGAATATTCAGCTTTGATCAGAGAAATACATTATATTAAATAATACTGTATATTCAAATAGAAAACGGCTATTTAAACGATTTAATTCAACATTACTGTTTTATTGTATTTTTGATCAAAGAAATGCAATTGGTAAAGCTTAACTTAAGTGTTAATTTAAGCAACTTAAAATTGTTTCAAGAGATTTGATAAAAAAACAACTCAAAAGCTATCTAAATTGATTAATCCTCATATCAGTCATATTTTAACTGAGCTACAATTAACGAAGACATCACACAATTGTTTCCAAGTGTGCACAACCATGACTCAGCGCGGAGGAGCTGATAACAAGGTGTTCAAAATCGCTGCTGATGGACCCTCACCAGTACCAGTCCGGATCAATTTCACACGAGTCATAAAATCAGGCAAGGGTGGATACTGGATAGTTAAAAAAAAAAAAAAAAAAAAAAAAATAGAAAAGAGGACGCAGTGTAAAATGACAGCATTGCAAGTGCCACGGAATCCATCTGGAACTACAATTAATGCACTGTCCTTCCGCCTTCCCATTAATCTCCTCAATTTTCTGGAACTCAGGGGAAACGTATACCCTAACAGGCATTAAAGGGGAGATCTCTGCAAAACCCCCTGCCAGTTTACCCCCATCGCTCTCCTTTTCTCTACCCTCCACCCCCTCTTAAGTGCTGCTGCCCCACAAACAGGAGTAAAAGGATATCTTCAGGTTTTTTGGGGAAAAAATAGGCTTATGATTAATAATTTGTCAGGGTCTGAGTTTTCTATTTCGCATTTTAAAACATGAGTTTAAATAAACGAGATGTCTTCAATCCCAGCTAACAAGGAACATTCTAACGTAACGTTCTGTCAATACCAGCAGCCGCGGTAAATTACCGTAAAATTGCCAGAATGACTTTTCCGGAAAATACACAAATATGCTGTTCACACAAGCAACGACGTTCCGGCTTTTTACCGGTAAGAGACCATTAACGCATCAGCTCCAAATACAGGTCAATTCTAGGATGTGAGTCATCGGAAGGACGGACATTTTCGAATTAGTTGATTCAGAACATTCAGAGAAGATTCAAAATTTGCGTTCGCAAAATGTTTGCAGAATGATGAAATAGAATGTTTTAAAAAAAGTTTTTAAAACATTTAAAAAATGGAGCGGTTTAAACATTTCATAATTTAATGTCCTTAACTCAATAACTTAATTAGCAAAAATATTTGTTCTTAGAACATATTTTTGTTGGGCTGGTCCAAAAGGTGCTATTTCTTTTAAGAAACAATATGGGTCACTTGTGCCAAGTCTTGTGGTGGAACAGGTTATGTGGCAGAGTTATACCTGAATGTTCTTGCCGCAGAATTTCCCTCCCCGCTGGGACAGGTACTGCAACATTGCCTCTGCCCGTTCTAGTTCTTTCACTGATTCCTGATGAAAATACGCAGCCACTCTGGGTAAAGACAAGTCACTCTGCTCAAAGATTTTGGCCTAAAACAGAAAGGAAGACAGATCTGATTTAAAACGAAACTAGCTGGAAAACAGTGTAATAACTTTGCCAACCAGTTTCCTGTAAGTGAAGAAAATGCGTCAGTCAGTCAGTCCATTATTTCTGCTTTCAGAGAATATATGTACATGTTTGTTTATTTTTAAAGCCAATAAAGTAAATGTCATTGTGGATTATACTTATTTATAGACAAATTCTACTGATACATTAAAAATATGTAGACATGACGTAGTAAAAGATTTAGGAATGTTAGGATAAGAGAAGAACAAATTATTGTTGTTATCATTATAAAGCAGTTTTGTTAAAAATATTTGTTGTCATGTGAAGCCATTTTATTGTCATTTGACAAGAACTAACAGAGAGGACCCTCATGACTTTCATAATCTCATGATTATCATATTTTTTTAAAAGGGTAAATAAATAATACATTGAAAATGCTGACTGATTTTTGTAAACAAACAGTACAGTACAAGGCAAAGTGTTTTAGGATATACCACTTGATAGGCTATTTTGTGGAATAAATCTTTTATTGAAAATATAGGCAAAACTTTTTTTAAAACTAAAAAAAAAACAAAACAAAAAAAAAAACAACCAGAGATTTTAAAACATTGACAACCTATTTGTCTCATGTTTTAAGTTATACAGTGATAAAATCAAGTGTTTTCAGGGCGACAATTGGCTCAGGGTGGGGGGTAGCAACTTGACAACAACACAAACTTTTCCATAAAACGCAATTATCAAATGGCACATAACTCTATCCTAAATATAAAACTTTATAAAGCAATGCTATAACTGTTAAATTAATGCAGTTTATTCTACAATAGGCTACACGGATGATTCGGGGTGTTATTTTTCAATGCGCATCACGTTTCTTCTTACCAGCGCTTCCAGTCTGTAAGAGACCTCCATGAGTAAAGTGGAAACTCCACACAGACTTTCTTCCACAACAGTCGGGAAGTTTTGTCTGACCTGACTCCCAGCAGTAGATAGATGTGTTTTACAGAGAGGAAGGCAAGTTTTTATTCGCTTTGCTGTCGGTTCCGACATGTTGATTTTTCCGCTCTCACGGACATCAACAGGCTGAACGTCCTCCTGACTGTCCTCGGTGATTTCAGGCGTTTCGCATAACCTCACAGACGCTATTAGGATGTTTCCGTATTGTGTATGTATAAGTATAAGTGATGAACTAATATTCAAAAGTCAACTGTAGGCTAAAAGTAGACGCGGAAAGATTAAACATGCGAGCGTTTCCCGTTCATTCTGTCAAGTTCATCCGGTATTATGTGGGTGGATAAGTAGACAAGCTGCCCTCTTTTAGCCTAAGTAGGCTATAGTTTTAGTGTAGTTTAGAAGTCCTGTTACATGGATTCAATATTGGTACAAAATGATCTAGAATAAGGGATCTAGTTTTATTATCATTATATTAATAATTTTATGCCTTCCATGCTGAATAGGTTATTGTTGCACTTGGGAAAAAGCACAATAATAATTGATTTGAATGTTAATAATCATTATGTTTCAATAATCTTTTGTCGTGCTTTAAAGTGCACTTTGAAGTTTGACTAACTAAACATGTAAATGACTTTGATGGTCATTTGATTTAATGACGTGATAGCCTTTGTGTTGGGATTCTGCCAGGGTTTATTCTGTGTTTTTAGTCAACTATATATTTCATTATAAATAACATAGCTAATGTGTTTTAATGGCTTATTGATTTAAACATGGTCATATGATGAGCCATTCATTGTTTTATTCTTTTCCCCCATTTATTTCGCCGAATCTTTTTTCTTCTTTTCTTTTGTTCTTTGAATCTTTGCTTTCAATCTAAAAATGTTCTTAAAAATTACTATACATTCGTCCTTTCTTATTATCCTGCATGAACTATAAAAATAATATCTCATCACATTTTTGACAGAAATCAAGGACACATTCATAAAAAAAGAAGACATTTATAATGTTAAACGACCATTTCTAAACTAATATTCTAGTTTAGAATATGTTCAGGTGGACTTTTATTTCATGAGATCTCATCTCAACTCAAATTTTATTTCTAAAGCATTGTCAAACACCAACCATTGCGGAACCAATGTGCTGTACAAAGAAATATAAATGAAAACAGGCATAAAAACAAGTACCACAAAACAACAAGCAACAAATTACAGCTTTTTTAAATGCTAAAGAAGACAAATATGCACTCTGAAAAACATTTAATGTGTGGGATTTTTATAAGAACAGGGGAAACTCATTCCAAAGCATTTCATTTCAAACAATATCGAGGAACAGTATGATTTAATTGATCATTTGAGCAAAGATAGCTATTTGATTGATGCAGACTGATTAAAACTCAGGTGCTAAGCCACAAAACTTTGAATAAATCTAACAGCAATTTTTAATGAATTCTGTAATGACCAGAACTGTGACGTAACCAGGGTAGTTTGATTAGTGCAGGAGTTACAGTATGTGCCCTCTCTTCTCAGTACCAGTTAGAAACCTAGCAGCTGAATGTTGAACAAGCTGCAGGTGTGAAAGAGACCTGGATCACACTACAGTCAGCTCAGAGTCAAAAATGACACCAAGGTTTTTTACACTAGAAAGTTTTTTGTTTTGTTTTTTGCTGGAAGCAACCAGACCAACATTAACATCCTCCACACATTCCTTTATTACCAAATAGAATAAACTTGGTCAGACATTACAGAGAAAATTTCCCACGTTTCAATGATATATAAATTTGAGAATCATCAGCATACAAATAAAAATGAATGTCACGGAAGCACCTAACAAAAGCATATAATGATGAGAACAAGACTGGCCCCAAAATTGAGCCCTGAGGAACCCCACACACAAGGGGGGCAACAGAAGAACAATATTTCCTAAACAAACTGAGAAAGACCTTTAAATACAAGGAAAACCAATCCAAGGCAAAACCCTGAAAGCCAAACTCTGAGACTATATAATGATCAATAGTGCCGAATGCCGTGGTAAGATCTAACAATAATAGAGCAACACAACTTCCAGAAGCAACACCGAGGAGGATATCATTCAGGGGCGAAAATTTCATCAAAATGTTGGGGGGGACAATAAACATAACAATTCTCAAGAGCAAATTTTGAAGGGGACACCAATAATACAGGCAAAAAATACATTTCATTATACTTCTTAAAATTTCTTTCTGGTTTAAGCCAGCGGTGAATCTGTTTACGTACTCTCCTCAAGCAGCGAGCGACTCATTTCATTTCATTCATTGACTCACTCTTTAACTATATTAAATTATATAATCATTAGAAACCTTCAAATAAGGGTTCACTTCTTGGCTTGAATACTCATTCAGACTTATTCATCCATCTATTATAATTGTTTACCATCCTATCTTTTTTGGCGCTATTTGTAAAAATCTACATTTGACTTGTGTGTTAATGATTTACAAGAAAACCATATTTATGTCATGTTCCTCTTTATGAAGCAACAAGTATTAGCACAGCCAAAAAGAGTCATGCAATGTGAATGACAACATCTTCGCTATGTTCCCTGGTGGACTCGTCTCTTGTTTCATCAGTGGCCCGTGTCATTGGGCCCTCCTCAGTGCGGATGACTGACACGAGGGACTGGGAAATCCCCGGGGGCCAGTTGGGTCTGGATGGAAGAAAGGGGAACACTCAGAGTACATGGAGCATTGGGTCAACAGGACCTGCACCCTTGACTTGACCTCTGCACCTTTCAGACACATATACAATGACCTGAGCTGAACTTAAGTGTAACAAATTACAGACACACTCAGGGGGAACAGAGCTGGATCAGGCTAAATTTCAGTTTGAATTTGGAATTAAGGCTGCAAGAGTGATTCACATTTCTGAGTTACTTCAGGTCACAACCTAGTGTGGTGGGTATGTGTTGTATTCCTTAAGATAATGACGTTACAGAGTTGTCATACATTTTGGCAGCTTCATGTAGACCTCCTTCAAGGATACCACCTGCCTTTTGTCCATGTTTTGTCTTTGTCTGTGAGTTTCTTTGTGCAGCTGTCCAAAAGCACTCAAGTCTTTCTGTCTTTTACTGATTTTTTTTCTGAAATATTCTCCATTCATTCTTCAATATTACTGTATTTTGAATTCTCTTTATAAAGTTGTATGAATCCAGTGACCACAGTGTTTCAGTCGGGTTTCGTTCCATAATTTAAAAATAGTTTTATTCAATTATTCAACCTATTGTCATGGGTGAATCTCTTATGACTGCTTTCTCTCAGAAGGACTCCAATTATTTTATTCACACAATCACGATCACAAACTCCTTCTATCAGCAGGCGAACAAGTACAAGACCATGTGGCAACATCCTTGACAATCATCGTGACATCTCGTTGCTCTCAATTGCAGGCAAAGTTTTGGAACGAATTCTGTTGAACCGCCTCCAAAAACACGTTTATGACAGTGACGTCATCCCGGAAAGTCAGTATGGATTTCGCGTAGGCCGCGGTACTATGGACATAGCAGAAATCAACAGGAACATCCAAAGCAAAAAGTTTAAAAAAAATTCGGCATACAAGCGTTTTAATAGTGTTGATTATGACCGAGCCATAGAAATGAAGGCTTTTTAACCTTTCTAAAGAGAGTGCCTTGGATGTTCCTGTTGATTTCTACATGTTTTTTCTATCCAAAGAGCACCTCAAGCTTATTTACTTGAGTCCAGACATTTGTTTACCATGGACATGGTGTTCAAAAAAATAGACAGATTCAGGAGAAGTGCCGAGAACAACACCTTGATCTTTATTGACCTCACGAAAGCCTTCGACTCAGTTTCCGCACCAGGCTCTGGCTCATTCTACATAAGATTGGATGCCCAGAGAAATTCATTAACACCGTCCGTTCATTTCATGATGGCATGCTTGGTCAGGTGTTGGGTGATGGCATACTGTTTGACCCATTTAGCATCTCCAGTGGCACCAAACAGGGATGTGTGTTAGCCCCACTGTTATTCAGCATCTTTTTTCTATAGAGAGCCTAAGCCCCTTCCCTTCCGGTCGACCACCATGGGACCTTATTTCGGAAAAATGTTGAATGGTAGTCAATGGCGAGAGACAACAAATATTTTGATCTCGTTTGAATTGTGCCCTGAATTACACATATGATGTTTGTCAATTTAAAAGAACCATTTTAAAGTAAAGAAAGTCGCAGTTTGATGCAAAACCGTTGAGGACTGTGAAAATACGTAATTACAAAGACTACAAACCCCAAAGGCGCACATTTTCTCTCAATGAATGAAGCTAACTTTACTAAGGCTATTGTCTGTCATTGTTTCTATAGTCTTACGTTATAATCGTAACGTTACGCCGTCACACCCGAGTGTTTTGTACCAGACTGCACACACACGAGCAGCAGATCTCACTCGTTGTTTCGCTTCCTGGGAGATGTAGTTCATACAGCGATTTTCACATTAAACTAAACGTTACTCTTCTGTTTTATGACAAACTGCGACGTTTTTGACTTTCAGAATTATCTTTCAAATTGACAAACATCATATGTGTAATTGAGGGCACAGATCAGACGGAATAAAAAGATTGACTACCATTCATATTTTTTCCGAAATAAGGTCCCCGGAAGCGGAGGGGCGGGACTTAGGCTCTCTATGATGCTGTCCGTGGCTTTTAAGGACTGCGACATGGTCATTCCAACCCAGTTCCTCGCAGACGGCTATGTCTTCAATCTGCACAGGCTTCAGGCAAATGTACAAATAAAATTCACATTCAGCAATTTTGCATGACCTCCTGTATGCAAATGATTGCGCACTGATGGCGCACACATTAACCGAAGCTCGGTCACTATTCGATCGTTTTTGAACTGCAGCTTCAAGGTTTGGGCTCACTGTCAGTCTAAAGAAGACGTCATGCCTCATGCGGTGATCAAGTGAAACTCCAATCCACTGGTAATTACTGAATATGAGACCGTGCCGACGGCCGTTGACAAATTCTGCTACCTCGGTGGCAATCTCGCAGCTGATAGGACAGCGTACTCCGACATCAGTGCCTGCAACGCAAAAGCTAGCTTTGCCTTCGGTCGACTGTCCAAGGGATGAGCACGGCATTCGGCTGGACAAAAGTGGCAGTATATAAGGCACTCATCCTCAAGGATCTGAGTCCTGGACCATTTATCGCCCGTCAGATCACCAAACTTGATCAGTTCCATATGTGGTGCTGTCTCGTCGTATTACACATGTCAAATGGCAGGATAAAGCCCCAATTATACATAGTTCCCACATGACGTCACAACATACGGGCATTTGCCGACCCGGCGCCAT